CGTATCATATATAAAGCAGAGGATAATTAAAATAAATTTAAGTGGTGTAAACACTTGTTTTTAAAACAGTACTAAAACATTTAATACTCGCCCACATTCAAAAAGAAAAAAAATTTAAAATTTGAAATTTAAAAGATAATTCTATTTAGTATTTTTTAAAAAGAAAAATCTACATTAGATTATATATTAAGAACAAACCCTATCATATTTCGTCAAAATCTTTATATTATAAAAATATTTTAAATTCTAACATGGAATGTTAGCATCTTAATCAAATGTCGTCTAAGGTTGATTTTTCATGTTATTTCGCTGACGTTTCCCATCAGTCATGGATACGTGATAGATGGTGACAGACAGCAAGATTTGAATCGATGTCTTAAGTTCAATGTAGCAACTAACTAGATTTTGCTTGAAATTAAGGGACTTGAAGAATCTGGAATTGCTACCACAGACAGACATTCAACATGTGAAACTGGTTTTCAGTTTTCATGTTCATTTACAGAGAAAGCAAGCAACTGAAACTGAAATCCTTTTCTAATTAATTCCCAGCGGTCGACCACATTGATCACAAGAGCATAATATTCTAGGAAAGGGAATGTTGAAATTTTCGAACACGCTCATGCCTTGTTTCAAAATGTCCCATCTGCTTATTCAACTTGTTTAATCTACTACTTTGAAAAGCTTCTGACATAGACAGCTAAACTTTGCCAATGCAAAACTCTTTCAAACAGAATGATAGTAAAAATGGACATCTGCCTGCCTTCAATGGAGCTATGTACATTGGTGAGTAACCTCAGTCTTAGAGAACAATTTCATGAATTTTGAAGCCTTTGAAAAGTAGTTAGTGCTAAATATAACATTATACATAATTTTTATAATGGTGAGAGAGGGAAAAAAAAAAGAAAAAAAAAAGCTATTGGACTTTTTTATTTTGTTTCATTTTTTATGCCATTTTTTGTTTTTCCTATTTCCTAATTTTTATAAAATATTCTAATTTAAAATAATTTCACAAAAATATTAACAAGTATATATTTAGTAAATTAATTTTCTTTTTGCATTGGCTAAAAATATACTGAGTTTTTTAGTAAAAGAAAGAGAGAAATGAGGAAGGGAAAATTATAAAAAAGAAAAATGAGATATATTTTTTTGTATTATTCTTATTTGTCTTATTTTTATTTTTTTTTGTTATTGTTCATTATCTTTTAGATAATTTCTTTTGAAAATCACAATTTAAAATAATTTTAAAATATAAAATATATAAAATTTATTAGTAAATTTGTATTTAAAAAAAAAACTTACAAATTGCTTCTATAAAATAATTTAACAAAATAATATAAAAAAATTATTAATAAATTTCAATTTAAAGTAATACAATAAAATTATCAATTTGTATTTTCTAAAAACAATTATAACTCACGCAGCATCGTGCGAGGATTTTCCTATTAACAATTAATAATCTAGTACTATTATTAATGATATAGATTCAATATTGGTTTTTTTTATTAGGTTAAAGAAGATTTTAATTCTGTCCTTTTAATAAAAAATGATTTAATTATTTAATTAAATATTCGAATATTGGTTTTTTTAATTTCTAAAATTAAGAAAATAAACAAATTATGTCTGAGAAAGGAAAAGGGAGATGCTCCGACAAATGCATATACATGTAAACCTCTGTCATGTTTGTATGCACCGTCTTGTATTCAGAGAAAGACAGTTCACCAAACGTCCTATTTTTTCCCTAAAGTTCGAAGAAATGCATCAAAAAGCCCTTTTGTCTAAATTTTTTTTTTGGGGGGTTGCTATAAAAGATGAGACACGTTGACTTATAGTATTAAAATGTTCTATTTATTTTACATGAAAATAAATAAATAAATTAAATAATATATCAAAAAAAAAAAAGGACCGCGTACCGGATGGAAACACACGCGTTTGATGTTGGGAAAAGCGTGTGAAAGCAATCTGGGTCGAACGTGACCATGCCAAAAAAAAAAAAGGGGCTCACTTGCTTTACTACGGTTTGCTTGTCTAAATGTCCGTTTGGCTTTAAATTTTCTTCCCAATTTGGGAATTTCTTGCCTTCTTTCCTGTGACTTCATGCTGTATGTAATCTGCAGCCCGGAATTGTAAAGTCAAATTCGAACACCACAAAGCAATTTTCAAAGTAAAAGCTAGCTCTGTTTCTTCCAACCTCACCTCCCACCTATATCCTTGCCATAGCTACCGATTTCGCCACCTCCCCCCCCCCCCCCCAAAAAAAAAAAAAGTAAACACAAATTGTATAAAATATAGTAAAAGAGAGGAAAAGGCTGAGTCAAACAATCCTGTTAAAGGTCCTACATTGACAAAGCTCTTCACCGTCCAGATCAAGCAAGATCCTTGTATATATAGAGTGGGTAGCTAGCAATACCCCATAGCTATATTTCAAAGACTATCCAATTGATAGAGCATTTGTTGTGAGAGACAAGTTCAGAGATTAGAACACGTTGTCATGTCGATGACCAAGAACAGCTCAACATCTTATTCATCAATGAAGTGTATTCTTTTCGTGCTGGGTCTATTGGCGTTGTTGGTTTCAACAGAGTTCGCTGCTGTCCATGGCCGAGCACTTCGATCAACGAAGGACATTGTCATTGTTCGAGGATACGAAGAACAAGGGGATGCTGATCATGAAGCGGTTGGTGTGCCTTCGTTTGCTGTCTCAGAAAACAACTCCAGCAATCGTAATTCATTTATGAGCTTGACATTTATATTAGCCTCCGGACCAAGCAAAAGAGGTCCTGGACATTAATTTTAAGCATTTCTTGGACCTTAAATTTTTCTTTTTGGTTTTCCATCCTAGGACGCGGAGGTTGTGCACAGATTTGTAAGCTGTAGAATTTTTTTCCTCTTTAATCTTCATCTAGGACAACAGGGAGATTTGTTTTTTCATTCCTTTAAAAGCAAGTATAGAAATCTATACTTTTTGATGATGACGATGATGATGTGCATGTGTGATTGTCAGCAAAATCAAGTCTCTTTCCCCCTCCAAAACTCTAAGAAGTCATGTAATGTAAATAATCTGAAAGGAGACGCCGCAAGGGATTAAGAAATCTAATTAATTATGTAATCTAAGTCAAACCCCATCGAAGTCGAAAAGAAAATCATGACAAAAGACGGAAGATCAGTAGATATTTCATCACCTGTTAGCTTTGACTGCGCCAATATGTTACAGTCTACGTACTATTGACTGCCTGCCTCGTTTTATAATGTATACTTCTACTTGATCTCTCAATGCACGTTAGATTTAGCTGATATATTTTTTGTGTTTATGTTTCTTGATAGTCTGGAAATGGGTTTCATTTGCAAAATTTTAGTTTCTTTGGCTGTTTTCTTTGGTCGTGGACCTTAAGCCAATAGCATTCAAGTCTCTGTCCATTGAGCTTAATCGAGATGGACAAGAAATTAAAAGCACTGTTAAAAAGACTTAAATTTCTACGGTGATAGACTCCACCAAAGAAACAACTAATCTTGATTTCATAAAGAATTTGATATTGATCTCCAATAAAAATCAGGATATAATTAAGCTTTTTTTACAAAAAAGATCTTAGTTTGAGAATAAAAAAAAAATCAGATTCTCAATTTAAATCTCAAATCTGTTTAATTTTACTTTTTAAATATAATTATACAAATGATCTGAATTAAACTCCAAGTTTGAAAATATAATTACAATTTAAGCATGTCATATTTCAATGACATTGCTTAATTAGTTTTTTTTTTTTTGTGCTACAGCTCAATCTCTGTTTCAATTCTTTTCGTCGACATAATTTAACATTAACTTTTCGGGTTTCTTTATGCTTGTTATATTATTCTTACCAAGCATAAAATTTTATTTTTCCATTTCATCTTCTGCAAATGTTTGTACAGTAACCTAACTTTATTCTCGGGCACGATCTTCTTCTGTCCTTGTGTGTTAGGTTCAGGATGTATGTGTGTGTGCACTGTGCACCAAAATATAAGAATGCGAAATTTCTAGTCAAATATTGTGGACAAGCCCATCTTAAAAGGTCATCAAATTGTTAGAAATGCTGGTGAAAGTTTTTGAAGTTGAACTTCAAATATTACTACCGTGCAATCTCAAAACTCAGCAATTAACATCACCGAGGTAGATAAATCATTGGATATGGCGGATATACGAGTCCTTTGGCCATTTCCGTCTACCAACAAGAAGACAACTAGTGGAGATTAAACTTTGACATTATTGAAAAGTAGCTATAAAAATCGTCTTTTGGCCCATGACCCTTGAAAACAAAGCCGATATGTCACGGGTCGAAATTTAAGTTTCGAATCCGTACAATTTCAGGACTTGAACATTCATCCTTTCGGTATCTTAGATCAATTTTTTTTATCATGGTTCACACTCTTGTGAAGTATGTGAATCCTTGTGAGGTATTGTCTATTCTGACCCTCTTGGCCTCACGATTTTATTCTACAAAAAGTGCCTCACAAAAAAAAAATGTTGTGAACTCTTATATACTCCAGTAACCTTTTTATTATGTTCGATGTGAGATTCAGGACTCCTCTTTAAGTTCGTGACATTCTCTCTTACCCAATCTCGTGACACTCTCGTCACGGAGGCTGACCACTCTCCTTACCTCCCTTGAGATGCTCGACGTACGAGTCGAGACTTAAGTTTTCAACTTGCGCAACTCCGAGACCCGAGCATTTACCTTTTCGACGTTTCAGATCAACCTTTCTGTCACGATTCACACTCTTGTGAGATATTATCCACTCTGATCCCCTTGACCTCACGATTTTATCTTACAAAAAGCGCTTCACAAAGAAGAGATGGTATGAACTCTTATATACTCAAGTGACCTTCATATTATGTTCGATATGAAATTTAGAACTCCTCCTTAAGTTCGTAACAGATACACTTCACTACCAAACTTTTGTCAATAAAGCTACCAAGACTACTCGATTAGGCATCGGCTAAAACCAGCATAATTTCTTGGAACACCAAAAAGTCCTAATATTGCACGATAAAAAAAAATATTAAACCGAATATTTTACTCATAAAGAATTTTTCTCCACATTGAATCGTTCCTCTCAAGAATTATTGTGTAAAAGCATATTTTGTGCTAAATTTTTAAGAATATTTTGTTCCCCACTTGGCTTGCTCGCCATACAAACCTAAAGCTCGGTTGAAACTTGAAGGATAATGTTGCTGAACCAACAATTTTCTCCGTGCAAAAACATCCACAAAAGGACCAAATTTGAAATTTCAAACAAAAATCTCTTACTCTAATTTAAGAAATGTCCAAAAGCAACGGACATATTCAGTTTCATCGCGCCATAGGCCCACAAAGTTCTCTAGGAAGAAACTGGGAATAGTCTTCAACTAAACTAATCAGGGAGGAGAGCGGGGCAAGTAGAAACACGGTTGTTTGTCGGTTGTCATAAACACAGTTGGACAATTTGGACAGACAGCAGGAGTGTTATCAGCGCAGGAAATGGAATTCAAATCAATGACGTTATTACAACATAAATAAAAATGTCCGACTACTTCAAGGCTAGAACTAACTTCCACTTCTAAAGCTCACTTCTATCTCTTGACCCCCATCTCCAACGGTCAATCACAGGATTATCAGTCATAAACAAGTAGGGACAAAAAGGTATGGAGGAAGAGAATTTTGGAAGTGAAAATATCATTTTAGCCAAAATTTGACGCGCTAACATGGCACAAATTTGGAAATTAACCTTTCTCGAAACTCAGGAGAGCTTTTTCACAGTGAGTATATGTGCACATGCACTTAATCACAAAAACCTGCAATACTTAAGTTGAGAGTATGATCGACAGTAGACATGACACAGATTAAAGTACAGTGTATCACAATAAAACCACCGACTCATAAAGTATGATTTAACGAAAAGAATCCACAAGCAAACATGTGCAAGGAACTGAAACATACATATAATAAGTGTTGCAGGAAAAAAGAAATGAACCTACCCTGATATAATCAATTTAAAGGTATTTTCTCTTAAGTTCAACAAATAGCTAAGCATCAATTGATAGAAGAAAGCAGACAAGCAGTGCCCCTTCACAAAGATATTGTAGATTACCCTGCAGGGGTGAGTTTGACAAGAGACAGAATTCTCTATGATATTTCCAGGGTCATGGATATGAATATATGGAAAACATTGACCTCATGATCAAGCTCAAATGATCCTTTTCTATATTGTTGAAAGATGAAGCTAGGTTACACAGAGTGATCTAGAAAGTTGTAACATGCCCAAAGCATTCTTGGTTAAAAGGGATTACTTTACTGATGTTACTTCTTTCCTACAAAACTTCTATATATGCAAGAAAAGAACTCAAAGAATAACAGACTTTTTGAGAATAGAAGCTCACATATATAACAGTTGGCTAAAACTTGGTTAACACAGAACGATGTTCTGGCAGGGAAACATACTGTACACATACATTACAAAATTATGGAACATGAAAATAGCCTGTGAACTAAAAACACGAAAAAATTGTTAAAGCATTATTCCTATTTTGACACAAGCACATGCATGAGCAATGTGTCTTACAATCAATTAATATCAATTGTATGTTTATATTACCAAAAGACTATACAAAGATAAGTTAATAAGAATGCATTTTCATTGAAAATCTACTCATACTTGTTCTATAGCACATAAGTCATCCCTTGCATGCTAAATTCTAATTCACAGCATAAACCTCACAGAGCTTCCACATCCTAATGGCTCTAGCACACTTAAGAATCTTTACTAACACAAATTAAATTTCCAAACCAACAAGTATTTTAGGAAGAATTACAATAAAAGTGAATTGAAGAAATACTGAGACTATTTATCAGATCCATACAAAATACAGAAACCTCTACCGCTTAGAGCTCTTTCTACATGTAAACTCTTCAAAAGACTTTCAACTCGATTGCTCTGGATTCAGTAATGTTCTGCCTTTAAGAGATGCAAATTCTAAACAGCATTGCCTAATTCCTGTGAAACTAATGACTGCATTTGCTGAAACAGATCATGAGAGAACAAACAGTGAATAAAGGTATAGAATGCTGATGAGTTGGTGGAAAATAAATCATCAATAACCAAATTTCTAGCACCCTTTATGCAGCATTTTGCGCTGTACCCATGAACAGAGTAACAAACACCAATCAACTCATAAAAATCAAGCACATTTCCACAAAGATTACAGAAAACCCAAAAAAACCCGATAAATATTATTACAGATATTATTATCATCGCATATAAGCAATTAAGCATTCCGAAATATCCATAGTCAGTGCAAACAGATCTAAGGAAACGCTAGCAATACTAATTATCAAGCTAAAAAACCCTAAAGAGAGACAAAGAGAGAAACAAGAATCCTCAAAGTCAAGCCTCTGCCTCTACGGACGGGGATGAAATCTCCCCATCACTCGCAGCTCCCGAGTCTTTTGTGTCTGCCTCCGGACCTGACGGAGCATCGGCGGAGGCGGCACCAGCTCGAGCTTTGACAGTATCGAGCATACGCTTGCTGATCTCCTTGGAATACACTTGAAGGATCTCGATGCCATCGTCGTCGGCGGAGAACGAAGCACCGGCAACCGAGAAAGCCTCCTCTTCGATCGACTTGGCCACGGCGGACGCCTCATCCTTCGGGATCGTTCCATAGCGTTTGGAAAGGACGGATTGAGAAGACAGCGTCTCGACTAGACGGTTAATGACGGCATCGCGGGTTCGTTGGCTGGGGGGCCAAATTCGGAGGGTAAGATTATTAAGATTGGCGGCTGTGTCGTCTACTTGGGCTTGGGTCTGGGTCTGGTGGGGCTCCGTCGCTTCTGCGGCGGAGCCTTGAGTAACGGCGGAATCAGGATCGGCCATTTCTTTTGGTTTGGGACTTCGAGTTGTGACTGGACAATGGGATTTGGAGTTTTGGGAGCGGAAATTTTTGCAAGGGAAATAGAAAAAGAAAACAAAGAACTGAAAGTGGGCCGAGTGTGGGTTGAAATGAAATGGACCGACCAACTTTACTTAGATCTGCATCTGCCCATGTCTTAAATGCTATAAATGCTAGTTTTCAATTAATAAAACACTTTAATATCGAAATTTCTATCATTTTTTTTATTGTTTAGTTGATTTTGATTTGGTTGTCAACGAATCAATTTCTGACGACGTAACGTAGCCTTCCTCATTGATTTTCGTTTAAGGCAATAAAGGAATTTTTTTTGCCAAAGAAGCAACCTTACTCGATCCAATCAACCAAAAGAAATAAGCTTACTCAGCTTCATACAAGTTGAGCAGTTAAGCTCCATGGGCTTACTTTATGTAACAAAGCATGTTTCTCTCATTGTCTGACACTCAAGCCGGTTGAAATATAAAAAATAGGAAACAAAACTGTTACCAAAACACCAAGGGCTTTTGTCTGGTTGCAGGCTTTGGCCCATTTATTTGACAGCATGGGATAACGTTTACAACAAACTGAAACGGGCAAGGAGTCGAAGTGTAACTATGATTGTGCCAAAAACCAACTGTCAAACTAAGAACGGGGAAATCTAACTTGTTAGACGACTCGAGTTCCTGTTACTAGAACAAACTCAAACTCAAGCCTGGGACAGCTGCCACTATCTGATACAGGACACAAGTAACTCATAGCTCTGAAAGAACATTAATCACGGATTTGCTTGGTTTGCACTTAGCTACAAAGGACTTAGCTTTTGGCATGGTGATTCCTGTCCCTTCAGTCAAGTTCACCTCCTCTTCGCTAATTCTTTCCCACTCGAAGCATTGAATTAATGCAGCCAATGCCAACCCACTATGGCACTACCCAACTCTTTTCCATTCAAAACACTGTAGGCAATTGGGTAAACTATGCGCAACCCCATCCAAGCGCTTAGAGCCAAATTTGTAATGGTAAAAGTCAAGATTTGCATATGAATTAGGATTCGTTCTTGATTTGTTTTCCTTTAGAGTAAAATTTTTATACTGTAGATTTTTATATTCCTGATCTTTAGGCTAGATTAACGCTGATCACCGTTCATTACTTTGTGTGTGTGTGTGTATATACATCAGTTCTTTGTTTCTTTACAAGATAGATGAATGAATATATTTTTTCCTAAAATCCTCACGCTTGGACATGCTGTCCCCTATCAAGTCCCAATGGATGAGACTGCTTCAAACCTTTCAGGCTTAAGGGCTTCTCCAAAGGTTGACCTAAGGAGCCCACGTCCAAAAGAATTTTTGTTGAAAGTAAAATAATCCCCATCCAAGGTTGCAGCCCTGTTAGCAAATATTATACAACGCTACCTATTAACAACATCTACCTTCCTCTTGGTTTGCTGAAGTCCGTTTTGACGCCGCTGTTAGGCCCTCCGGGGCAATGGCAGTTTGTGTTGTGATGGTGACGTCCCATGCAGCCAGATAAATTGCGCTCCACCCTTTTGATTGCAGAGACCGAGGCAGCCTTTCTTTGCTTGGATATGCTTAATATGACTTTCAGTTTCCTAAAACTAAAGCATGAAAAAAAAAAGTTACTATACCATGTATTTTATATAACGATAATGCTACTGAACATGTCAATCTTTATTTGAAAATGATGAAATTACTATTTCATGAAGTATTTGTCTTCACGGATTTACTCATGACAAAGATGTTTTCACAAAATTTTTCCATTTGCAATTTAGCTTGCATAATCATCCACCCCAAATCAGCATCCGGAACACTAACTGTAAATATTAAGGAATTTCAGCCGAGCCTATTGGAAAATAAAGCCACAATTCCGGGGTAAGTAATCTATATTCTCAGAGTCACAGGAAACTTTCCTGAGAACTCAAAGCCAATTTCCTGTAAAACCAATTCATGCAGCCAGCCCATCGTAAAAGAGTAATTTTATACTGGTAATGCACACCTAAAGAAACAAATAAAGAGAAACCACTAATAACTACAGTAAATTTATAATCTTATACTTTTAACACACCTGAGACCATTGTTATTCGTTTCCGTGTCCCAGGCCCATTAAATAAAACAAAGAAATTGTCTGAGAAAGTTTCTGATAAAGGTACATTGCTTTCAGCAGACAGGAAGAAGTTTTTAGTTTGAGATTAAAAAATTCTGTAAAGTTGTAGGGGAGGGGTCGGATGTGTAGAAATGATCAGGCCAATTGGAATCACCGTAACTCGCCCTTCTGTGTGAGCATCTTTCCATGTCCGTACTGCTTTCAATGGTCAACAAAGCTCAAAATTTTGCTTCTCGATGCGAAGGGTCTCCCCTGCAAAAATCTATACAGCAATGCCTTTGCGTAATGTCAGCTCCAGGAAACGATTCCATTTGACAGAGGGTCCCCCTCCTAAGACCTAACTTCGCAATTCACATTGCTTCGGTTAACATAATCTGATATCCCTGCCATCAAATTCAAAAAGAAAAGAAAAACGACATCTGATATCTCTCTCATATGGAGAAAGAGAAAAATGTACGACTGCATTGGTTTCTACTTTCTCGTTTCGCTACAAAAATAAACTGGTTGTCTTTGAGTAACTTTTTGGATGCTTATGGCTTAATTTTCTGTTTTGAGAATTCAAGTACCTAAAGCTCAACTCTCCGATCTAAGTGGCCGAAGTTGTCTGACTTCCCTATAACTCTAGGTACATAAACCAATCATATATATTACTTACGAAGTAACAAAATCAAGCTTCCAAGTTTTGGTATGCCTCAGCTTGGCTTTGAAAATTATTTTGAATTATTCTCCCAAAAATATCAACAGTTGAAACTCGAACCTCTTGTCTAGTACAAGTAACATGTTCCATGTCTCATCACCCAAAGCGAGAAGAAACCCTGATTCAGCCAATGGTTGTAAATGAGGCACCATTTATGGCTTAATTAGTGGTTGAGCTAGCTCTTTGTTTCTTGACAATGATAGACGAAGAAACAAAGATGTTTCTTGACAACGGCAGACGAAGAAATAAAGAAGGACGACTTCATGGAGGAATAAAACCCTAAAACTGTCAAGTATCAACCAAAATTATATATTTCCCTTGTTCTTAATATAGTGTGCCAGAGTAACTTTGTACGGAGTTAACCTTTCATTAGTATCTTTATTAGCTTAAATAAAGGACAATGTTTATCCATTGCACTTAAAAAAGAAAGAACTCAAATTTTTTCTGCAACTTATCACCCAAAGCGAGAGGAAACCCTGATTCAGCCAATGGTTGTAAATGAGGCACCATTTATGGCTTAATTAGTGGTTGAGCTAGCTCTTTGTTTCTTGACAACGACAGACGAAGAAACAAAGGACGACTTCATGAAGGAATAAAACCCTAAAACTGTCAAGTATCAACCAAAATTATATATTTCACTTGTTCTTAATATAGTGTGCCAGAGTAACATTGTACGGAGTTAACCTTTCATTAGTATCTTTATTAGCTTAAAATAAAGGACAATGTTTCTCTTGCACTAAAAAAAAAAAGAACTCAATTTTTTTCTGCAACTTAATTGACAATACATTCAATAACCGATAAGAACAATACTGGCAGCAATGAAACAAATGGACAAGAACAATTCTATAATTCTAGAGCAAGAGATGTTGAGAAGATATTCTCTGATACCACCAAACCTCTGAAACCTATTACTATTAAAAGCAATCACTCAGTCTTTCGGTATTATGAGGTTCTGAAAAGTGCAAGGAAGCAATAAACTTGGAGAAGAAGAAAAAAAAACTAAAAAAGAGCTAAGGGACAGCATAAAGGAAAATTTGTTTTGGTAAGTGGGAACTAACCAACGGAAGGAACACGCACTCAAATAATTGTAGACCAAGTTTCTTCACTAATAAAATATTTCATTTACACATATATTGCGGTATAGACAATACAAAATATGGATGACAACTGACAAAAAGTCCTAAAATTACAACAAAATTTGAAAACATGGATGCAAACGTAATTCACTGAGATAAAGGAGGATCCCCACAAAACCCCACCATCGTTGACAAAATGCGCAATGCAAAAAACAAACATTGCCGTGCTTAATGGCCTCCACCTTCTCTTTTTCACATGTTCCCCATTTTAACTAATCTTTCAGAAAACATAACATTGATCAAAATAAAGCTTCAACGGTTGTGGAGTGGATCCGAGGCGTTTGGAACTTTCCTCTTGCTTGAAAAGAATACATCAAAGGAATGCCTCAAAAGTTGGTGGTGGTGCTGCTGCAGCTGCTTCACTGGTTGCTTCTCTTTAGCAGCTGGTGAATGACCGTTCATGGCAACAAGCGTTGACTCTTCCTTCTGATCATCTCCTGAGACTAACAGAGAGAGCAACAACATTACGACCATTAGTTTCTGCAACAGCGGCACTTGCAGAGACGGTCGAAAGTGCATGCTTTTGCACCAAGAGAGAAATCGTGGTTTATTTTTTCTTCTTAGTGGGCGAGAAAGAAAGAGATCAGAAATCTAAAATCTTCCACTACTTCCTCAAAGAAACGAAAAAAAAATGCATACAAATGGGATAAGGGCAAGGGTTAGAAAGAAAAAGCACTCAACAGGGAAAGCCAAGTGGCTTCGTTTGGACATGTAGGAAAAAACATAACTAAAGAAAAGGTGATGTAGAGTATTGAGTATACCCTGCAAACACGGGACGCATCTCACGAAGAACACACTTTTCTTTTGCTTTTCTTTATAATAGAATATTAGTATAATTTTCGTTCTTTCCGAGAACTTTTTTCTTCTGGCTTTCAGTCCCTAAAACAAGGGTAGCTCCAAGTCCAATTTATAGTAATATATCATAGATAGTACTATAGTATATATAGATCTTGGCTTTTGTGCTTTATCTTTGTCTGAGTTTTATTTGTCTGCTATGGAGAGTAGTCAATTTTTTCTTTATAGCTACTTCATCCCAGAGGCCAGAGAAAAAGAGAAGAAAAAAGAAAGTGATTTTCGAGTATCTGAACCCACCAGCTATCAGCCATGCTATTCTTCCAAGGACTTTTTCGTTTTTTCCTTCTACATGCAAAAGCACATTTCGTGTCAAACAAAGACCAAAGAATATGTATACATATATAGTTGTTTTAGAGGTATAAACAAATCTTTGCTTAAAGTACACGTTCTGAATGGTCTTGTCATGTGCAAATTAAACACCTAAAGGTTCTTCCCAGTAACTTTTGAATATATGGCATCCCAGTTATGAAAGTACAGGAAATCATCGTGTTCAAGTACTACTTAACCGTATTAATAGAGCTGATTAATTAAATTTGCTCCATTCTGTGACTGGTGGATTGTCATGAGAACAGACCAGAGGGATTTGTTTGACAAAATTACAGTCGGTTTGAGAGAGATTCAGTCATAAAATGTAATTTTTTATATAGTGAGGGCCTTCAATCAAATTTTCAAATGAATCTTTAATTAAATTTTTTATAAAATAATTAAAAGTCTAATTGTAAAAAATTTTCAATCAAATTTTCAAATGAATATTAGCCAAAACTTTTGACAAGATAGCTGGGATTCAAAATTTACAACAACACTTAAAAAAAACGAGCACTATATGTAAAATGAACTACCCCAATTGTGCAATACTAGTATTAGAAAAGATAATCAGCTGGACGTACTAGTATAAGTATTTCTTTTGCTTTCAAAATTTCCCCGTCAATTGTGCACATGATCAATTTTAATTAGTATATGTTTAATCAATTAAATTGAAAAAAATACTATACCTGAACAAGTAAAGGTGTTAACGTAACCATCCAACACAATAAACAATTGTGCCCAATTTTCGACCTTGTATATCAACCTCATTACCTAACCATACGGGCCTTGGGCCTAAAAATGGTGATATTTTTTTATTCATTACCAACTACCTAGTCATGAAGGGAAAATGACTCGGTCTTCAAAAATTAGCATTCGAGCACTATTACATCTTTAGAAAAGTACCATAAAATAATAATTTTTTACTGGAAATTATAGTAATCATTATTCAACGTCTGGTGAAACCAGCCTTGGGGAGTGGATCTTATAAAGAACCATGCAAACTCATGCAGCCCAAAGCTCAATTTTCACCCAAGACAAGCCTAGCAGCTCAATGTTTTGTATGGCGCCACACAAACGCCTATCAGGCTTGGCACATTTCTTTTCTTGTTTGAAGTCTGACAAAAAGGCTTGATACCTCGTTAAAATTAAAGAAGCTCAATGACCAACACCTTTCCGTTAACCTATAGTTAGAGTGAATCAAAAGTAACCCAACTCTAAATTTGTTCGCATTTTACCCAAATTAATAACTTCAATCCGAATGATTAATTTGATATGAGCCATACTCAATTAATCAGTGTCACTTTAAAAACCCAAATTTAACCAAAAACTTGATACAATTTGATTTTTTTTTTTTAAACCAAAATGGTTCAATTGCCACCCCTACTTGCTATATTGGTTTTAGCCTTTGAGCGGTTTATTTTGCTTTGGATAACTACCTCCGCTAAGAAATTTGTTCAAAGGGAATTTCAGTAGTGATCGATGTATTAGGGAACCATCCCATCATTTGATCAGTTAAGTTGGGCATTTGGTACTTTCGCGCATTCCATTTGGAGAGAAACATTTTATAAAAAATTGTCACACCTTTCACCAATCACCACTAAGTTATTGCTATTTTTAAGATAAGGTACCGATGGACGTTACAATCCTCAGCTTCAAGTTCAATCTCCTGACTCATCAATCCACTATAGTTGCCTTCTCATCACAATGAAGCTTCAATTTCAAGAGTCGGCAGCAACTTACCAGCAAATGAGAGAGTTCCAAATGGCACATACTTGGCGTCTAGTTCAGATGTAATTCTCCATGTCGCAATGCAACAAAACAGAAAAATTCTTTGCATCCATAAGCCTTGCAACTTAATTTCAAGAATCATGTTCATATCAAATTGTTATGATAACTTGGAATCTTTAACTCAATCTTTACTAATTAAATTGAGCTATCGATTTTATCCTAATGATTCAAAAGTTTTTTTTTCATTCTTTCAATTCAAAACTCACACAAAATTATCGTAAATTACAAGAATCATGCATTCAATTTACTTAGATTCATGTTGTATTACATTTATCCAAGTCATAAGTCATATCCATGCGTCATATGATATTTTTCCACATGCTTTCACACTTGTGGTCAATGCACTTGCTAGCGCAATATCAACTTTAAACCAATTGCTTGAAGGAAGTGCTCATGTCATTTGGAAAACAACTACATATTCCATTGGCATTGCCCACCACAACTTCAGGGAATGTCGAATTAATGTTTCTTTTTGGAAAGACAAAGAACATGGAAATATATGATCACCCCACCTTTGTGTTACTACTATCAATCGCCATCGATGCAAAACAAGCCACATGAAAGTAGACTGAAGAATATTCATCATTTCATTAAATGTTATGATTTTGCAGCAAGTTGACATGTCCGGTCATAAGTAGGAACAATGGCAGAAAACTGGATTTAAGTGGTGCTTCATTATCTGGAAAACACATAAAACCTTGGAAGATATATACATATATAGTACAGTGTATGTAGCCTGGCTGCAAAAAAAAAAAAAAAAATCAACCAAAATGAGAGGTTGAGACCATCAACCTTGTCCTTCTCGCTACTTCCCTCTATTCATGGAACATGAAAGATTATCAGTAGTTCTCAATCTCGTCAAATCATTGTTGAACATCCATCCACAATAAAATGAATTTCAATTTAGTACACCAGAAAAGTTATGGATTGATGGTGGATAGACTGGTGTAGTGTGAACTGCAGACAACTCAAAAGACTTCGGTCTGAACTATCTCTTCTAAACGTAACCAAGCATTGGAATCTTTTGACAAAAGTAACGTATATATCATGGCAGGCAATTCGTATAAGTTTTAGGATTATGATATGAGTGTGTTGTAATTGTTGTTGCACCACATTGATTCTTGAGTTGCTAGGAATCCAAGTGCGATGAAAAGAAATAAACGGAAAAAGTTTTCCCTTTTCATTTTCCTTCTATCCTTGGGGGGTAGGATAAGAGACTAATTGTTGACAAGACAGAAGCCCTGCAGTAGGAATGCTAGTAATAAATGGATCCATTCGCTAAGAAACGAGATAAACTTGGAAAACATCTATTGCCACTTCATTTGCTTTCGATACATCTCGTTAGTTGTTCCTCTTTGATCCTACAGTTTATCTAATCTTAGAAAGCTTTTAAAACCTTCAAGGTTTTCGGTGTTTTCATACAGGTGAAGATGACTTTCCAACTCAAAGGCGTAGCAGAAATGTCAGCTAATAATCAGATTAATGAAAGACACGATGAGGGCTACTATGAAGGCACCGATGGAGGCAATTCAACAGAGTGGCTAAGCTTGAGTCTTGGCAGGCATGGGGATATCGTTGCTTCAAAAAGTGGTTTCCAATCAAGATATGGTCCCAATAAGATCTTCTCCTGCAACTTTTGCAGAAGAAAGTTCTGCAGTTCACAAGCACTTGGTGGCCACCAGAACGCCCACAAAAGGGAGAGGGGAGTAGTTAGACGATACCAATCTGAGAGACTGATGGCAATGATTGGTTTGCCTGTAAATAAGCCAATGATCCAGCCACTTGGTGTTCAGCCCCATTCACTTATGTGCGAACTGAATAAAGAATGGAGACCTGGTGCAAGATTCAATGATTCCAACAAAGAGATTGTGGGGGCATGGACAGGATCCATTGACAGAGAAACAACTTTGAAGTGGCCAGGAAGTTATCATGTGGATTCCCAACCATCTAAACCACGACCAGAGTTGCTGCCAATCGACTTGGACCTCCGGCTATAATTGCTGCATCCTTATATAAAATCAGTTGAAAATGTTTCTCTAATACCTATTTCATGAGGTTTCTTGTATACAAGCAAAACCCAAGCTCAAATCACTCCTTTCGCATAGATCTGTTTATAAGAATTGCTGGCAGTATTATTTCATACTTTTATTAGAGCTGCACAGGGCAGCCAATTTTCAGGTAAAGATCGCTTTCTGCAAGAGAAAGTTCAGAAGGATGTTAGCTTGCTTGGGGAGAAGCGTAAGTGAGTATGAATGTCTTTTTCCGCCATTTTCATTCCAGCATCATCCAACATTTGTCAAATGAGTAAGCAAAGCTATAATATTTTAGGACACATCTGAGTTTAGTTAAGTTACCTGACTCATAATGAAGTACAACATTCCTGAAACAATCTAAATCCAGAATGAAGTGTCAATATGACTATCCATGAACAATCAGAAATCCTAAACAACATCGAGTGTTACATCAGCATTAAGTCTTAAGATAATTTATCAATTAGATGAAAACCAGAATCCTACTTTCACAGGTAGGTTAAGAATTTGAAAATTCAATGCTTCCTGAGAAAGATATTTATTTATCAACAAAATAGTTTTATATCTTTCAACCATGAGGACTGAAAAATCAATTAAAAGAACATCTCTTGACCATTCAACTTTTCAAAAGCTAAAACAATCACTTACATTCAAAATTGTTGCTCTAAGAATCGTGAAAATACTAAAGTTCAGCTCATGTTAGAAACACTTCACAAGTCAGTGTCACTGCTAATGACAGACATACATAGCCAAACATTAACCACTTGCATCATTGGTGCCCCATCCTTAAAGGGTCTTTCAACAAATCAAGATTAGCAAGCTCAAGTATGAGTCTTTTGGCGTTCAAATATTCATTTCACCCGCATTCAGGCCTTCTCCAAGAAGTTGAATTATAGAAATTACACAAATCTAAATCACATATGTCAGACTTTCACCTCTTGAACATCTTCAACATAGGAAATATCAACTTCTTGAACATCTTCAAAATATGAAGCTGGAATCTCAGGAGAAGCAGGCATTGTCGCCACACATTTGAACTGTTTCCAGAGAAAATCAAAATTACTTCAATAAGATTACAACCTTTAAAACATGACAACATAAATTATAATCATATTATTACATGTACATACCTTATGCTGCTTGTATTTTTCTCTAACTGCCTGAAGTGCACCTCCTCTTCTACTCAAATATAAGTCATGTATAACAAGGACACAGTCTCTCAGATCAGATGCTTTGTAACCTGAGTATTGTTGCATGGCAGAGCTCTACATAACAGATGATAAATAAATATTTGCCACCTATGGACAAAAATCAAAACCATAAAATACCATGAGAGAAGAAACTCATACCCAAGGTTGTCTCTTTGGTCGAATTATGAATCTTGTAAGAAAGATAACAGAAGCAGCAACCATAGACGGTAAAAATTTTACACATCCATAGTCCAACAAACTTAACTCTGCTAGGTAATATCCAAGGAACTCTAACTGCAAGCTGGAAGCCTATAGAAGATCAAAAGCAATCATACAGTCAATAACAGATAATAATAACCTTATTAGAACAAATGCAAGAAAAATGGGCACTTTTCTTACATTGTAATCCTCTTGTGCAACTCTGGTAAATCTCCTGAAAAACACCAGAGAACACACAAACCACAAGTTAGTTCAACAAAGCATTAAGATTTTAACATTGCCAGTAACTGCTATCCATTGTCAACACAAATTCACTTTCTAACCCACTCTTACCTCAGAAATGTTTTAACTGTAGGATTGCCCAATTCAAACTTCAAGGATTTGAGTATATCTGCCTCCATTTTCACAACCTTCACATTTAACCAACTTTTAATGAATGAATGAAGCAATGTAGTCTACAAATGAAAAATGAGAAAAAGCAAAAAAGAAATAAGTAGAAAGAAGGGGAATTTTACCTCATCTTTCGTGTATGTATTATCTGTTATATAGCAAAAATCTTCCACGTTCGGAGGATTAATTTCCTCGTACTTTCTACTTGAAACAATTAAAGCAAAAAAAAAAAAAAAGAGTTGAATACAACACTTACAATAATTTCAAACCAAAAAAAAAAAAAAAAAACCATCAGAATATCGAAGAATCAGAAGCTTACGAGGCAATGAGCATTGAAGATACACCCAGTAGCTGAAGCCTTTGCCTATTGAGAGCATTTAAAGATAGGAATCTATCAATGTAGGAAACGGTCATATATAAAGTATCTGAAACCAGTTTGTATTCCTCTGCAACTTCCACCAACCAATCCACCAAAATCCCTCTCATATTTGTACTAACATCCTTTTGCACCTTCTCAATATAATCAGGTAAAGGTATTCTCTTTGGATCCACCTAATATTAATAGCATCATTTCATCAGAAATCCCAATTTTCAATAGTCATTATCAATATACACAAAACCTGTTGTCAATGCAAACAGCTTATTTAAACCAAATCCCCTATTTCAATTACCATGGCTAAATTAAAGCAGTATCCCATAATGAAAACAGACACTTTTGAAACGATGTCATTCAGATTAGGAGAAGAGGAAAATGAGTTTTTCAACATGAAAAGATTCATTGCCTAGGAAAGAACATAAATTTGTCGAACTTAACGAATTCTTGTTAAATAGAGAGTGAATGAGAGGGAGAAATACCTCCATTTGACGGAGATATTCATAGATATCAGATACGTAATGCCCACACATTTGCGGGTCATCAGATTTAGCATCAATATCCACCGCTTTTTCATCTTCAATCTCCTCTTTCCTCACCTTCAACGCCGGCTTTACCGCTCTCGTCTTTGTCTTCACTCTCCCTTTAGGCTGCTGCTGCTGCTGCTTCTGGGTTTCCTTTCCCTGAACTTTATTCACCGAAACAACAGCGTTAGACGAATTGGAAAGCTCCCCCAAAACAACCCTCTTCTTGTTCATCACTCTCTCGTCCATTATCCCCGCCGACTCAGCAGCCCTCTTCTTGGCCGCAGCCCTTGTCACTCTCACACAATTCTCTTGATCCGCCATTGCCTCTTTCTCCCTTACTCTTCAGCCTAATCCTCTTGCCGTTGCAATAGCAGAAAGAGAGAGGGGGGGAGAGGATTTGGAAATGAAGAGAAGAGTGAGGCAGGGATTTGTAGTGAAGGAAAGAGAGGGAGAATAAAAGGGAGTGAAATGAGAAGCGCCATTTTGGGATTTTGTTTTCAAAACTTGGGTGCTTGGCGGTATTTGATTAACTCTGCACTCGGGCTTTGAGTTGTAGTAAACACTTAATGTTTTCTCTCTTTTTGAAGTTTGGCTCGCGATTTTTAGTGAACCAATTTTTGGGGTTTTAAATTTTGAAAACAGAAGATGAGAGAGGAGAGTTTTTGGGGATTGGAGGGGTCTCTTTGATTAGGAAACCATCGCGGGCTTACTTTCAAGTTTTCCATACTTTCCATAATTCAGCCGCCTGCTGTCCTGAATTCCTTTTGAAACGTGAAAGAGTTAAAGCCCAAAATGGAAAAATTTTCAGAGCGCGGTAGAGTTTGTGCCTCTTGCCATTTCTAAATTGTGCATGTGTCTCTTTTTGTTCATTTAACAATGGTAAAATACAAGAAGTTGGTGGTAATTAGTAGCAGTAAATTTTCCACTACTATAAAGCAAGATTTAGGTACGCTTTATATTTTTTGTAATTAGATTTAGGTTAACTTAATTTATGAGACGTTTGTTTTATGCTAAATATAAAATAAATTTGAATTTGAAATAGAGTATGTTAGATAAAATTCATAATCCATTATTAATTTATCATTAACATTATAAGACAAATCAATTGAAACGTGTATTCAATGAATTAATATTAAAATTATATTAAAATAAATTTAAAAATTAATTCATTTGATTTATATAATTACTTTTAAAATATAATATCTAAAATATAATATTTTTAACACTTATAATTTTTTTATTTTTAAACTATGATTTTCTTGATAACAAAAAAATAATGTCAAATAATTATTAAACTTTATATAAAAAAGTATGTCAATAGTTTTTGAACAGTAGAAACTAGTATGTATTGAATATTCTATTCCTTATTTATCCAAAAAAAAGAAACTTTACTATTAAAATTTTGCTTCATTCCCATATATTTTTAAACCCCTCCCCCCAACCCGCCCTCTAACCGCAAGGCATAGTGCAATACGAAAAGAATCATGGCTTGGGAGGGATCCAAACAAGCCCATGGTAAGTTATTTTCCTTCAACACATCTAAACTATTTAACCAAGCCCATCAGCTGTTGGACTACGAAATCCGAATGATTTTGCCCTATTATTTTTATGAAATTCCGTGTCTCAGGGAAAGAAAATCCATGGCATCGGGAGTCAGGAGTCAGGACGAATCCCCAGTTTATTCGTATGCCTCATAAGAATTTGGAAATAAACCAAGACAAATTAAACACAATCAAGCAACACTATTATTATTTTACAATCTTAATGCAGAAGCGGCTTCACTAACGAAAACATAAAGTTACAAGCTACAATGGCAGCACCAGGATGGAGTCGGGATTTCACATCAAATGCTCAACCTTACCAACTTAAAGCTTATTACTAGTATTATATATTAAAGTTTGGTTTTACCATCTCTTTATGGTAAAATTTATGACCATACAAAACAATATAGTTCATGATCCATGTGTTTTGTTTTCGTGGGAGGTCAGCGGTTGTTGAGAGTGTCTTTTACTGTTTTGAGCTTGCGAAGGGCATCCCTCATGCTGACCCGTCCATCAGGAGAAACCGAGGTGCAAGTTAGTCCAACTCCAATTATTGTGGTCAAGCAATCATATTCTATCTCTGGGTTTATGGGTTGTCTATCACACTGCAAATTCTGCACCAGTAGTAGCAGTTCAGGATCCAGAAATTGCTGCACGTTGTAGGGAAAAGCCGATTGTACCCATTTAATTAGATTTAGTTCTCCCACAAAGCTCTCGTGGGTTGGACTCTTTCCGGTAAATAACTCTAGCAACATCACTCCAAAGCTGTAAACATCTCCTGCTGTTGACGGCTTCTCCCCAAGCCCATATTCTGCAGCACAGCCGATTCATTAATTGAATCTTAGAGGCAGATCACGGAATTGCTTAATGATAGGATCAAGACAACTTTTTAAAGTAAAATAGAAATGACCGCGTCAAACAAAGTAGTAGAAAAAGTAATCAGGTGACAGATCGTAAGAAATGTTGTTGTGGTACTAACCTGGAGGTACGTAACCTATAGAACCCTTTAGGGCATTCGTGGAGCTAATGGAGGGTTGACTGCCTGATTTCTCCATCAGCAACCTTGCCAACCCGAAATCTCCTACCTTGGCAGTCATGTCTTCATCCAAAAGAATGTTGCTTGGCTTCAAATCACAATGCACCACTGGAACTTCACAGTCATTATGCAGATAATCTAATGCAGAAGCAACATCAATGGCCACATTCAATCTTTCCATAACATTTAACCCATATCCATCTGCATTCCTTCTCTTTCCCTTGAGCCAGTCTTCGACGCTTCCGTTGGCAAGGAACTCATACACCAGGGCCAGGAATTCCACATTCTGAAAGTCCATACTCGAGCATGACGTGATTAGTTTGACAAGATTGCGGTGCCTCACGTTTCTCAGAGCTTCACATTCTGCTAGAAAGCTCTTCCAAGATCCAGTCCTCCCTATATCAAGGACCTTGATTGCAACAAGAACGCCTTTAAGATAAGCTTTATAAACTGAACCAAAGCTCCCATTTCCAATCAAATTTTCTGGGTTGAAATTCGAAGTTGCCCTGCGGATCTCACCGTAAGAGATCAACTGATGCTGCCTCTTGAGCGTTTCAAAAGTCGTCATTTTTGCTTTGCCCTTTTTTACATAGAACAACGAGGCAATTATGAAACACAGTGCAAAAGCTGCAATTACAGTTATAGTAACATAAACTTTAACTAATCTTCCATGGCCACGTGTGTTCTTACAAGCCAAGGGCAAGCAAAGCTTTGGGTTCCCTTCCAAATGGACCCTAGAAAGATTTTTGAAAATGCCACCACTCGGCAATGTTCCTTCCAAGTCATTGAAAGAGAGGTTCAACGACTGAAGCTGTAGATTTTGAAGATCCGAAGGAATGAAGCCAGAAAGTTGGTTGGATGAGAGATCCAACGTTTCCAAGCCTTTCATTTCCCCAATCTCTCCTGGAATTGGGCCTGATAGCATATTCTCAGCCATGAATAATTTCTCCAGGCTCTTACAATTTTTAATTGAGCTGGGAATACTGCCGGACAAACGGTTTATGGACACGTCAACTGCAACAACACTTTTTAGCCCAATCTCTTGAGGAAAAGGTCCGTTTAGAGAATTCCTAGAAAGGTTCAAGAGAGTGCTCAAACTAGGGAGATTGAGAATTTCTTTGGGTATGCTTCCATTGAGCCTATTGTTGGACAAATCCATGGAAAGCAACTGCTGAAAGTTCTGAAAAGTAGAAGGTATTTGACCCACCAGTTGATTTCCTGATAAATCGATTTGGTTTAACTGTCGAAGATCACCAAGGTAGCTTGGAATGCTACCAGATATCTGATTTCCAGCCAAACCCAACATTTGCAGTTTTTCCAGTTTACCAATCTCAGGTGGGATTTCGCCAGAGATGGAATTGTAACTCAAATTAAGCAGAGTCAAGCCACTAAGTTGGGCAATTGAGGGTGGTATGTTGCCAGAAATACGATTGCCCCCCATGTACAATTTTAAGAGCCCCTTGGAAAGATTGCCGATGGATTCTGGAATTACACCCTCCAAAAGATTGCCATCAAAAGCAAGAAATTTTAGACGAGAACTATTTGTCAAAGAAGTGATGAACCCAAGACCATCGTCGGCTGTGCTAACAATCTTATTAAACCCAATATTATACATTTCTAGAAATGGAAGATTTCCCAAACCAGGTGGCACTGTTCCTTCAAGAAGGTTGGATGCCATGCGTATGATTTTTATATTGGTGAGGTTGTGCAAAGAGCCTGGAATTCTACCTGTGAATTTATTGAAGCAAAAGTTGAAACCCCAAAGATTAGGGAGATTATCCCCAACATCATAGGGAAGTCTACCCCAAAGTTGGTTTGCAGCTAGGGCCAAATAACCTAGGGAAGACATGTTGTAGATGGAAGAAGGTACAGTTCCTGTTAGATGGTTAATAGTGAGGTCAAGTACCTTTAGGTTTCGAAGACGACTCAAGTCGGTTGGTATCGTTCCAGTGAGATCATTGGTGCCCAAATTCAAACTGTCGAGTAACGAAAGATTTGCTATAGAAAGTGGAATTGTACCCGTGAGAAGGTTTCGTCCCAAGTTTAAAACTTGGAGGTTGGCAAGCTGGTCAAGATCTTTGGGAACAACTCCTGTAATCTTATTTGTCATCAAGTCAAGAATTCTGAGCTCCGTTAATTTGCTTATATTCGATGGTATCACACCATCTAAGCTGTTGGAGCTCAAATTTAGAACTCTCAAACGAAAAAGATTACCAAGTTGGTCAGGAAGTGCACCTGATAGTCGGTTGCCTTGAAGTTCAAGGGAACGAAGGAATGAAAGATTCCCAATGTGAGGGCTTATAGACCCTGCAAGATTAAAGCCAGAGATGTTGAGTGCAATCACTCTGGTATTGAGTTTGTTGCAGAGAACTCCAGTCCAGTTACATGGAGATAAGTTTTGCTCCCATTGTGAAAGAGGATTTGGAAACTCCGAAGAACTTATTTGTGACTTGAACGAGAGCAAGGCTTCCTTGTCTGTAACAATAGTGGAAGTGGCTGATTCCATGAAGAGACAGATGCATTTGAAATATACAATGAAAAGCATAAACGAAAAATGCCGGGGATAAGGGGAAGGCATGATTCTTTGAAGTAGTTTGCGTGTACAAGAATGGGATTGAGATGTGAGTTCAAAAACATTGAGGCATGGTATTTATAGAAATCTGAAATCTAATGTTAACAAGGATTCATAAATCATAGAAAAAAAATTTTTAAATTAACGTAAACTTTTGTAAAATATCCTTTTTTTTTTCTTAATAGTTAAATCACATCAAAATTTTGTAACAATTCTCATAAAATTAAAATTTTGAGACAAAAAAAGATTTGATGTAATTATTGGAAAATTAATACACACACGTAATACCCATGAACAAAATAGAAAGCTCAAATTAAGAATTAGAACATACAAATATATTTGTTTCGGTCCAACTTAAAATGGTTTACTTTAAACATAATCTATTAACAAATAAATTTTACAACTGAAAGACTTTTCGAATAAGAAAAGTCACTAAAAATTCTTTACTCAAAACTTAACCCAAAACTCAATTACACATTTTTAATAACATACTCATTTAGCTATTCTCTTTGTGTCTAATTATCTGAGATTACCAAACCAAAATAAAAGCATCTTATTTATAAAAGTAAAAATATCTTATTTATAAAGGTGAAACCCTTTATACCTTTACTGAACCGTCGATGTGGGATATAAAACAAACTCAAAACTCTTATAGCTTTCAATGTAAGATTATGAAATTCAAGGCAAATCCCAATAAATCCTTAATTGACTTGAATCTTCAAATATTTTAACAATATCTACAAAGCTAACATGCTTACCTTTATTCTTTTCTTTCATTACAAGGATCCCAACAATCGAGTCTCCATTAAGTATGAGTGATATTTAACCCTATTCCCTTGTAAAATTACACTACCATTTTTCTACACTTTCAAATAATCATTACTATTATAGTATGTGTACTTCCAATAAGCTAACTCACTCAAAATAATTAAATTATAGCTACAACTCGATGCACCTTACATGATAAAGTGTCTTAACAACACTATTATGAGATCTAAGATGAACATTCCCAATGCTTTGAATTTGGACATTTTTCATTATTAGCAATTACAATATCTTTATACTTTTCATTCTCATCCAATTTCATAAAACAACTCATATTATTACAAACATGAACTATAGTAGTTAAATCCAAAATTCAACCTTTATCATCTTTTAAAGTTCAAGTCTCATCCACACAAGTCATCAAAACGATATCATCATCATCAGATACGATGACAGCAATATCACTTTTTTTTCATCCGATTTTTTCTCGTCATTCGTCATTTTGAAAGCAATCATATCATTTTTCAGCTTTTTACAGCTCATTTGGATACGTATTTTTTCACCATAATAATAACATTTTATGTCGTTGTAATCTCTGTATCTTGACTTAGATCTCCTTTTTGATCCATTAATTATCTTCTGAGTCCTCTCTCGATTAAAACTTTCTGCAGTTAGTGTATTCCTCTTAGGTAATGAGTTATGTACTCTTATAAACCTTTCGTTTTCATGTAACAGGACAGTCACATCATCAAACTTCAAAGTAGACCTGCCTACTAACAAAGTTCGAACTAAATGCCTATAAAACTTGGGTAAAAATACAGCAAAATTAAAGCCTTCTATTTATCTTTTAACTCATCAACAGAAATCGCCAACAATTGAAAAACCAATCTATTAAATTTATTCAGATAATTATAAAGACTCGTATTTTATTCCACCTTCAAATATAATCTGTTAGTCAATGATTTCAAAACATAAATACCCTCAAGCTTATTCCATAAACTTTTTGGAGTACTCTTAGTGAACACACTTTATTTTACCTGTGGGGCTAATACAAATCTAATAATACAAACAGCTTTATTTTGAATTCTATTATAATTAGCGTCATACATTTCTTCGGGCTTACTACTCCTTAATGTCCGATCAAATCCTTATTGTACTAACATATCTTGAATCATACTTTGCCATAACATGAAATTACTTTTTTATCAAATAATGAAATCTCAAATTTAGGCATAGACATATTAGACATAATTTCTTCAAACATTTTGAAATACTTGTTTCACGATCTTTTGGACCTATCTCTTATTCCCACAAACCTCAAACATCGAATCTTACTTTGATACTACTTATTGAGGATGACCACAGCCCTGATACCACTTATTAAAAGATCAACATACATATGCAATACTTATAAACAAAATAACAAGTTCAAATCAATAATAAGAATACACAAATATATTTATTTTAGCTAAACTTAAAATGATTTATTCCAAACATAATCCATTAATAAATAAATTTTTATAATTAAAAAATTTTTAAATAAAAAATTATTAAAATTTTTATTCAAAATTTAAAATGACTGCAATTAACGTAATTAATGGTAATTGACTTTGGCTAATGGACATATTCTTGGCTAGGGACATTTTTCGGGCCCCAGGATGTTAATGGCACGTGATTTGGTTTGAAATTCGTCGTTCCGTCGATGGAGGGCTGGACTTGGGTTTTGCCCATTAAAATCAACTTGCTCCATTGTCAACACATTTTAGCACATGGAAGAGAAATTCAAAGTCGTCGTCATCACACGACTAAGTCTATTTGTCTTTTTCAAGTTGGAAATTTAAGAGAACTGTAAAACATCAATCTCGTGTTGAAGTCTTCTTTACTTGACGTTTATGGGTCAACTTGCGTTTTGAACACATAATTTTGAGAAAAATAAACTAATAAATTTAATCATAAAAATTAAAAATAAATTATAAAAATGCTATGGGCTATGATCTAACACCAAAGTTTCATGGACTTTTGTTGTGTAAAGGCTAATATGCCATTACCCCAATGCAGTTTCTATTTTCATTGTAACCCCGTCCTTGCTGTAGGTATATCTCCTATTGGGCTCTTCATCGCATCATATAATTTGTAATATGCATTCCTGGCCACTTTCATAAGCCCAACCGTTAACCTTTGTACTGATGGGCTTAAGCTAGAAGGCATAAGGGCCTCATTTTGAATTATGACCAGCCTGACAATCTTTGTATTCGATTTTACAAAGTCCAAGAGAAACGGGTAAGTCCTTAAATTTGCAGTTATACACATTTTGACAATATCGGTTTTACATTAAATTTAGTTTGAAAATTAAAAGAAAAAATGTTTACCAATAGCTAATACCTAACGTTCAAAAAAACTTGCCATTCAATTCCCCGCCAATCACTAACGAAACGGTTGGTTGTTGCATCCCGAAACCTACTAGTCTTCTCTACTCTGCCTTGTCCCCCTCAGATCCATTGCCTCTTGCTGCATTTCTCCTTGTGGTGGTCCAAAGAGCAACCATGTATAGACCAGGGCTCTTCCCAGCTTCCAGCTATACTCAACATCAACGGTGGCAAGAGACTTGTGCACGATTGCTAGCTCCTCTGACTATATGGATATGTGGCATGTAATTCTTTCACATGTTTTTGTAATTGTCCACTTCACTGACCCTTAGTCTGAAACAAACCTTTTCTTTTTCTTTCGGTGTTTGCAGTGTCAGTAATCCTCCGATATGGCTACTATGGGGATTGTCATATGGTGCTTGGACCAAGCTCTTCTCGATTGATGAAAGCTAGCTCTGTGTTTGTAAAACAGGTTGAAGTAAGAGATGAAAATGGGAAAGGGGTTCTTCTTTATGGGTTTTCCGAGAAGCCAGAATTAAGCAAGGAAACAAATTGGAACGCTTCGAATTATTTGATTGTTAGATCATATGGTCGAAAGGTAACAAAAAGCTTCTGCAAAGCTTTCTAAAATTTTCTAACAAAGTACATTATTTTGATCAGATCGGAAATTAAATTTCAGGGATACTCTTTGTGGTTAAACAAGGGTTCTAGGATTTACATAAGATGGGCAACTCAAACCAGCAGATTAGACAAAATTGAAGTGACTCTGATAAAAGGTGGGTTATCTCGGTTTAACTTTATTTTGAGTTCAGTTTAGTCCCTGAGGAATGCCCATGTTTCTACAGGAGAAAGAAAACGAGAAACATTGCTGCCAAAAATGACGGTTTCATTTGATGCCCTTTTCCTGAATGAACAAGTGATTGGTAAACCCATCCTTTTTACTTTTTCTTTCAGGACACTTATCTGCTGTTTATGGTTTGGTTTTTCAATTGATAATTGAATAAAGCATTTTTTTAGGCATAGTAGTCACTTGAGTTATTAAAAAACGCGCCAGGTAGGGATCGAACCTACGACATTCTGCTTAGGAAACAGACGCTCTATCCACTGAGCTACAGGCGCTTCTTGTTAGATGTGTGAAAACTAATCTATTTATTGGTAGATAGAATTGTTTTCCTTCACCAAGTTGACCTACCTTCAGCGTTTGACTGGGATGGTGAGACGATGGGGCTCTGCAAAGAAGCCTGTTTGATCTATCTCAGGATTTTTGCTTTATCTTAGCAAATGCCAAAGATTTTGTATGCTAGGTCTTAGGTTTAACAGCGAATTTTTATTCCCAACTAACATTTGAATGGAGCAGCAGCTACTCCTTTTCAAATGCTCACGTCTATTGGTATTAATTACTTTGTGTTTCACATTTTCAGTCCAAGTTTAGTTGTTATGTTCTACTTTTGGAATTTCATAGAAGAAACAAAGGAATGCTAAACTGAGATCCAGAACCAGCATTAACCAGAAAGGACTCTAACAATAGAAGTAATTTTATGAACATGGATTGCAAAACTATGAAAATGCAATAATGCTGCAACATTCTTGTAGAAGAGTTTCAGATAGATCAGGGTGTTGATCGTACCAAGAAAACAAAACATAGACAACTGTTGTCTGTTGATCAAATAGTTCTGAACAAATTTTTCTATATTTACTCAGGTAAAGAAGCGGAATACTCCATTGAGGAAGATGACAAGTACTATGTAGGTGTGATTAACTCGAATCCTAGAAGCATAATAATGACATTTGGTTTAAATGTTACATCGAAGGTGTATGATGTAACAAAAGCCAGTAACATGTGTTCATCACTAAATGGATCATGCCGGCTCAAAATTCAGTTTCCTGACACTCAGTATGTCATAGTTTCAACACCTGACAATGTAAGGTCTCAACCCTTTTGTAATTCAATTAACTTCTACAAATTATTAACTAATTTCTCCTGAACTTTAGGCAATGAAATAAAATTTTCAGGGTGACATTGCTGGATGGTACATTGACCTATCTTTTGTTGCTCGTGTTGTTACTTACATTGCAATTTTAGGTACTTTATTCAAATGCAGGCCTGAGACTTAGTTTGATGTTCTCTCTGTTTCCAAATTACTTTGAACTGCTATAGTACCCTAATAGTTTTGTCATCTGTAGGTATTTTCATCATTATCATTTTGCTGGTGCTGAAATACCTTGGGGCATATAATAGTGCGACAACAGTGGTTGAAACAGCAGCTCTGGAGATATCCTGGAGGACTGAGACTGACCCTATATTGCCAGAGAAGCCAGTTCGACTGACCTATGGAACGACTGCAGAGGAAGACAATGATGCTGAAACAGGATCATCTAGTAGCTCTTCAGAGGATTTATATGATGCAAAATTATGTGTAATATGCTATGATGATCAACGCAACTGCTTCTTTGTTCCTTGTGGCCACTGTGCCACTTGCTATGATTGTGCTCAAAGGTACAAAGTGGAAAAAATTCCTTCCTCTCTACAACGTAACTTTTTAAAAACTTTTACTCGCAAAACTTTTGCAGGATTATGGAGGAGGATAACAAGATGTGTCCAATATGTCGAAGACTCATTCACAAAGTAAGAAGATTGTTTAGTCCCTAGGAGCTACTGAAATGGGATTGTAAATTCATGTCAGCATTGTCACTATGGAGAGTGGTGGAGTCTTGCCTATTGCAAACTGAGTGCCGTTTTGGTTTTTGTGCTGAGTGAGTCATTGCCCTTGATGCTAATCGTTCCTTAGAAAGTTCTTTTTTCTCAATCAAACAGCATGGAATAGTCTCCTTTCTCATTTCTTTATCACTTGGGAAAATGGCATAGTCTTGTATTGGTTAAATGAATATAGTGTGCTTGTGGCATCATTATTATCCATTTGTTCCTACAAAAGGTTGTGAAATAGACAAGAAGGTACTCATTTCCAGACTGGATTCAGACACCTACAGAGGACTTTGTAAACAGCTTCAACTTCATGTCCTTGTGTTTTTGGGAATAGAAAGTCACTAAAATAGATGACAATTTAATATGATACCAAAAATTTACTCACAAGTGGAGACTAGTCAAGGATATAGATTGAAGTCTTCGGAAAGTAGACAAAGGGGAAGGCATTTTCCGTGTTCCAAGAAACATGTCATTTGCTTTGAACGACTTCTTCACTTTGTAGGCAAAAAGCCTTTGTACCCATTGTGAATGAAAATATTCGTTTGCTTTGCAGCACTAGTTGATTTGCTCACAAGATTACTGCAACTCGATCGTTTATCTTATTATCTTCAACAGTTTTACAAATCTGATGATTGCACTGAGTTGACTTGTGCACCATGATTCTTGTATTATTTTCGTCAAATTTGATATATATATATATATATATATGATAATTTGAAACACAATACGATAATATTATATGAAAATGATATGAATAAAAAATATAAAAATAATATAATAAAATTTTAATAAAATTATAAATAAATTTAATAAAATTAAAAAAATTATATTTTATATTTTCATATCGATATAAATGTTAATATATTTTTTATATAAAATATAATAAAAATATAAAATTATATTAATAAAAATTATAATACATAATTTTTATGTAAAATATAATATTTACTCGATACTAAAGACGCAAATCGCCATGATGTACACACCGCTGGACTAAACTATTATGATTTTGATAGCTAACAAAACAAAAAAAAAAAATTTATAGCAACTGTCGGATGACAGACATAAGGCAGGTGAAGCGATCTTCTAACGTTTTGTGAAAGGATGTATATTTTATTATTTTCGTTAGGCCCCCTTGAACCACGCACTTCTCCTTCTTTGAAAATTCAATGATGAAATTCGTATTTCTTGCCTTTCTATAATGTTTTCTGGGTGCGGCTTGGCCTCCGGCTGTTGTAAACTAAACCGGCTATACCTAGCAAAAAGAATTTTAACTAGGTAAAAGATATGGCAGTAAAGTCGTGGCTTTTAATATTTTGAGAAAGATCTATCTTAATTCTTATTATAAGATATTTAAATAATGATTATGATCATATTTTCGATCACATTATATTTATCATATTTTTAAATATAATAAAAATCATTATGATTATTAAAATCATCATTATCGTAATTTTTTTTTTTAATTTTACATAATTTATTATAAAATATAATAATTATAATTATAATCATATAATTTTATTTAATGATTTTTAAATAGTTTATGATATATATTTTTATTTTTTTTATTTTAAATTTATTCACAATTTAAGTTAGATTATAATAAATAGAATATTTAATAATTACGCAAAATAAAAATAAATTAATAAAAATTAATTTACTAGTAAAAGAATTGATAACAATATAAATATTAAAATAACAAAAATTTATTAAATTTCAAATAAAAATTATAAATTAACAAATAAAAAATCAAAATATAATATTTAATTTTAATTATTTTTCATTTAACTTATAGAAAAAAAATTATTAAAATTTTTCATCTAAAATTCTTATATATATCATATTAAATTATTAATCTTTTATTTTTTTCAATTATAAAATTTCAATCCCTCAAATTAAATTTTATCTAAAAAAATTTTAAAAATTACAAAATTTTAAATTTATATTTTAATAAAATTAATTATAAAATTAAATAAAATTACCTATCCTCACCCTGTCGCCAATGCACTCCACCCTACCTCCAACACACCCCATTTCACCCAATCCTATCTCCCCTACCCACTACTGAGATAAGACCTAACACCATACTTCACTCTCCGATTTTCTTGCAAACAGTCTCTAAATTTTTTCATTTTCCTATTCATCTTCAACATTTTTTATGACGTCGTTTCTTCAAATCAACTCAACCAACTCCTCTTTTTTTTTTTTTTAATTTTTTTCTCATATACTATCGTCTCTTTCACTCAAATTCTCACAAACAAAAAAAATTAACATTATTCTATAAAAATTTTACAAAAAAAAATGTAATTTAATTTCTTCTTACCTTATTGATTTTGATTGTTGATTGAAATTTGAGGTTGATTTGAATTTGAGTAACTGACGATTGAATGGTTGATAGTTGATATTTTTTTAAAATTTTTTAGATAAATTTTGAAACTGAAAATATGATAATAAAATTAACAAACTGAGTTATCTTTTTTTTTTTGTTTTTACTTTTACTTTTGCAATCTTAATTGTTTTTTTTGATTTTTAAGAATTTTGACATATTGCATTGAAACTCAAATTTTTTTTTAATTTGTACTGATGGAAAAATGGGATAGTAGCAACGACAATAACAATCTGTTATTGTTGTTATTCTCTATTACACTATTTTTCAACGGTCATTACATACCATTTTGAATGTAATTAAAAATTTTAACAACTTTTTTTTTTATAACAATAAGGGGTGATGATGTTACCATAATTTTGCTATCGTTATTCCGTTATAACATCGTTATTTGAATCTTTGCTTATTATATATACTAGATATTAGTACCATCAGGAATCAAATTTTGACACTTTTCATGGGATTTTGATGGTTTTATTATCTGCGTGTGAACTAGGAAGATGCAGTGTGTCTTAATCATCAATTAATGCAATCAATTTGGAAGTTGGAACCAAAAGTTTGTTTTTGCAACAAGAGCACTTAAGATGATTTATGGAATTAGCGAACATAATCTAAAGGCGGCAATGTCAAAGCATATTGTTTAGGCAAGTTTTCATTTGTTTGTCTCAAGGCTAGGATAGTTGTTGGATCACTAGAAGAATCAAGGCCTAAGTAACAAATTGGCACTCTTAACAGTTCAAAAATTTATAGCAGATAGCCTATTGTTGGAGGGATTTAATTGGAACAATAGCTTGTCCTCGACGAATTTACCAAATGGATTATCGTTCATTAAAAGAAGGCCAAATGATTTCCGGTAAATCTGTATCATTTGGCAGATTTTCTTCATGCGGCTCAGGTAGAAATGCTCATGAGTACAGAAAGTGACGGATACTATAGTTTTTTCGATAGAAGACAGCTGCTTGAGTTTGCATTAAATTAATATTACACATAAGATTAATTATTATCTCGTTGATTCGCATCAGCAGTTCCCAATGGGCGTTATTGTATAAATGATTCTATCAGGTTCAGGAATGGATCCCCCAAGTTCAAGCCCTTTCTCCCGTGAAAGCATCGATCTGATCTATCTATGGAAGACTCGCTCGTCCACTACGTTGTCTTCTTCCTCTTCCTGTACTTTCTTACCAAAAGGTTGCTAAAAAATAAAGGACTCCCACCAAGCCCTGCTCTGTCCCTTCCTATCATAGGCCATCTCCATCTCATCAGAAAACCACTCCATAGCACCCTTGCCAAGCTATCCAAGCAACACGGTCCTATACTCTTCATTCAGTTCGGATCTCGTCCTGTCCTTGTCGTGTCTTCTCCTTCTGCTGCAGAAGAATGTTTCACCAAAAATGATGTCGTATTTGCAAACCGCCCTCGTTTGCTTACTGGGAAACACCTTGGTTACGATTATACTACACTTCCCTGGGCCCCATATGGCGATCACTGGAGAAACTTGAGGCGTGTGGCCTCTATAGAACTCTTGTCATCTAATCGCGTGCAAAAGTATTTTTGGATACGTATGGATGAAGTCAAGTTTTTAATTCTCAGGTTATATAGGAGTTCAAAGGGCGGTGAGTTTCAGGTTGTGGAGATGAAATCAATATTTTTTGAGTTAACTCTTAATGTTTTGATGAGGATGATTGCTGGGAAAAGGTATTATGGAGAAGGAGAGGAAATATTGGAGGAAGAAAGAAATTTCAAAGAAATGGTGACAGAGACTTTTGAATTGAGTGGAGCCACAAATTTTGGAGATTTTCTTCCCGTTTTAAAGTGGGTTGGATTGAGTAAAATTGAGAAGAAGCTGGCAAAATTAAAGAGGAAGAGGGACGGATTCATGCAAAATTTGATTGAAGAACGCAGAAAATTGATAAGTGATTCATGTTCTGAACAAAACAGCAAGACAATGGTTGATGTTCTATTATCTTTGCAAGAAACCGATCCTGAATATTATACGGATGATATCATCCGAGGCATGATGCAAGTAAGCTCTCCCTTCTTTTCATCTATCCGTTTGAACTATAATTCTCCCTTGTAAAACCCAGGTTCATGTCTCCTGTAATTTTTGTTCTGTACCTTGAAGAAGATTCATTTACCTTTTTTCTTTTATCTTTTATCTAGGTACTGTTATCAGCTGGAACTGATACGTCAGCTGGGACCATGGAATGGGCGTTATCACTTTTGCTAAACAATCCAAAAACCCTTGTAAAAGCCCGGGAAGAAATAGACGTGGAGGTTGGGCAAAGCAGGCTAATCGAGGAATCAGATCTTGGCAAACTCCCATACTTCCATGCCATCACAAACGAGACATTTAGGATGTACCCAGCTGGCCCACTTTTGGCACCGCACGAGTCATCCGAGGAATGCACCGTGGGGGGTTTCTCTATTCCCCGTGGCACAATGCTGTTGGTAAAAATTTGGGCCATGCAGAACGATCCTGGATTATGGGAGAAGCCCACTGAATTTAAACACGATAGGTTCCTAGGACCAGAGGCGGTAAAGAATGGGTTCACGTTTTTGCCATTTGGGACAGGCAGGAGGAGGTGTCCAGGGGAGAACTTGGCAATGGGTTTGATTCCATTGGCATTGGGGTCTCTGATTCAGTTCTTTGAGTGGGAGAGAATCAGTGAGGAGATGGTGGATATGAGTGAAGGGAATGGGCTCACCATGCCCAAGGCTCAGCCCTTGGTTGCTAAGTGTAGGCCGCGGCCAGTCATGATAAACTTCCTGACTCAACTTTAAGTAACTTATTATTTTTGAGTCCATGGATGTTACTTCTTGTATCATTTCAATTTGTGCAATTATCAATAGGTTTACATGCTTACTTTTAACTCCTAGGAAATTTTAGTTACGACATCAAAAATAAAATATATTAGCTAAACTAGAATAGGTGATATAAGCAATAACATAAATAAATAATAGAGTCAATAAAAATATATCAACCAAACTAGAATCGTTGATATATACAATAACATAAATAAATAATAGAGTCAATAAAAATATATCAGCCAAACTAGAATCGTTGATATATACAATAAAATAAATAAATAATAGTCAATAAAAATATATCAGCCAAAATAAATAATAAATAATAGACTTTTTAACAATTGATGAATTGGTGATGCATCCATCAACAATAGTCTTCCAATGGTGTTAATATCCGCAAAAGTAAGAATTGATTTGCTTGTTCATGATAAGTCAGGCGTTCGTGGTGTTTATCCAATTTCCAAGATCAACATCGAGATTCAATATTCAATGTATATATTATATATATATATTTAATTAGTAGAGCATAGAAATGTAAGTGTCCACTTTACTTAAGCAATATTTAATTTCATAACGAAATAAGAAAGTTACTGATTGAAGATTAATTCAAATCTATACACCGCTCGATAAAATATTGTTGAAAGAAGATGGTGAGTCGTGACGGCCATTTAGAGAAACAATAGATCTACTCTTTTATGTGGACATAGATGATTATTAAAGGAAAATGTGATCATCCAAGGGGCTACCTAATTCTTCTGAAAATGTTTAAATCTAAATCACCATACCTTTTTCACAATATGCTATTACCATTTTTAATTCTTTGTAGTTTTCTTGCAACAAGAAAAGTGGTAACTCTGTAAAACAATTTTATGGCCTTGGGCAAGCCTGAACGTTCCTGCCAATTTCCATATTCCACTGTGATAAGATTCGTTTCAATTACAGTGTTCGTAATTATCGCTCCCACTCAACAAATCATTATAAAATGTGTAGATTCGATGCCATATTTTTCAAGACAAGATAAAAAAACTTACTGAAAAAACAGTCAACGAAACAGAGCATAGACATTAGAGAACAAAGCATCTCTACCAATGCTCCCATGGGCATCAGCTGGTATCTCTACCTTCTGTTTTTGGCCTTGTATGTTTTCACAAAACACTTCCTGAACAAAACCCAAAATTTCCCACCAAGTCCTTTTCCTTGTCTACCCATCATTGGCCACTTCTACCTTCTGAAAAAGACCTTGCACAGAACTCTGTCTCAAATTTCAAACAGAAATGGAGACATAGTACTCCTCCAATTCGGATCCCGTCCAGTTCTTGTGGTCTCATCCCCGTCTGCTGCCGAAGAATGCTTTGCAAGAAACGACATCATTTTCGCCAACCGCCCTGGCTTGCTTATAGGAAAACACTTAGGTTACAACCACACTAGCCTAGTGTCACAGACACTAGCCTAGTGTCACAGACTAAGCTTTCTCTCAACAAGCAACAGATCGTGCAGTACTTGAATAGACGCTTTCACCAAGTCTGCCTTCAACAGTTCGATATCTGAACAAATAACCATAAGTCATGGTTAGTCCCAAGCATTCACAATAAGGCACATTATATTGAGATCAATCTCAAGCACACACAAGAAGGCACATTCACATCGAAAAAAAGAAAAACACATCCAGGTAACATTCGAGACATTCAATCGGGGTGAATTTTATTATAATCGAGAATCATACATCGAGACTTTCCACCATCACCAGGGCTAGGGGCAGCCCTTGGTGGATGGCCTAGGCCCACATAGCAACCGGTGAGACAGTCCAACAGTACGCTGCCGGTTCACCCCCTTAAAGAGCCTTAGAGATTTTAGAGTTATGCTACCACTAACCATTACAATGTTTGAAATGGGGACACTTTTCCCAGCACAAGAAATCTACCCGGCCATGGCCCTATACATAGGTGGCTCATGACAACCTAAGCCCCGATCATGGCCCTATACAAGGTTGGCTCGTGACATCCTCCCCCACCTATTCTATCGATGTCCTCGTCGACTTGCTGGCTTGAAATTCTTCAATCTTCTTTTTGAATCTCTGGAAGTCGTGTTCTCTTTCCCAGTTGGTTTCTTCTAGTCCTAATCATTCCCACTTCACTAAGTATTCTCGAACTAATTTTCGAGATATCTTGGTTTCCCTATCGGCTAGGATCTTTTCGACTCGACGCTCTGAGGGTGGCTTCATGGTGATGGTGACTCTGGTTGGCTCCCTTCGGCTAGCATCTGTATGATTTGCATGAAAAGGTTTCAGGTTGTTCACATGAAATACTAGGTGCACCTTCATCCACTTTGGTGGGTCAATTTTGTAAAAAGCATTCCCCACATTGGAAAGGATCTTCACTGGACCCTCATATTTGCGCACCAGTCTACGATCTCTTTTTCTCAAGAATTCGATTTGTTCAGGGACTAGTCGAACAAGAACCAAATCACCAACTTGGAATTGTTGAGCCCTGCAACCTTTGTCTGCCCATTTTTCATTCGCTTCGATGCTTTCTCTAGGTAGGCTTGTGCAATCTCCGTGTTTTGTTTCCACTCCTTGCTGAGATTGAAGGCTCTCGAATTCTTTCCTCCATATTGTTCCAAAGAAGTGTGGGGTAGCCTTGATAATTACCCGGTGACCACCTTAAATGGGCTCTTGTTGGTGGAAGAGCTTTTGTTGAAATTAAAGCAGAGTTGAGCAACGTCTAATAATGAAGGCCAGTTCTTCTGATTGGCTTGAACAAAGTGCCTTAAATATTCCTCCAGTAATCCATTGAACCGTTCATTTAATCGTCGATTTGAGGGTGGTAGCTTGAGGAGATATTGAGTTGGGACTCTAATATCTTGAAAAGTTCTCTCCAAAAGGATCCCGTGAATCTCGGATTTCTATCGCTGATAATGTTTTGAGGGAGGCCCCAGTATTTGATCACATGTTTAAACAATAGTCGAGCTGTATCTTTCGCTGTATAATACTTGTGAGCGAGAATGAATGTGGTGTACTTAGAGAACCAATCAATCACCACCAAAATAGCTCCAAGATCACCAACCTTGGGTAGGCTCGAAATGAAATCGAGAGAGATACTTTCCCATGGCCTGGCAGGTACCGATAGTGGTTCAAGCATGCCTGTAAGTTTTTTCTTTTCAACTTTGTCTTGTTGGCAAATGAGGTAAGTCTTTGTATAGTCCATCACATTTTATCGCATGTGAGGCCAATAGTATCCCTGTTTCAATAATGCCAAAGTGCGTTGCCAGCCCGGATGTTCAGCCCATGGTGTGTCATGATATTCCTTCATCAGCATTTGTCTCAGACTTCTTACTCTTGGCACAAACAATCGAGGCCCCTTCGTCCACAAGACCTCATTTTCTTACCAAAAGCACTTGGACTTCCCCTCTTCCACTAGCTTCAGAATGGCACTGACCTGTGGGTCCTTCCCTAAATGATCGCCAATCAACTTACGAATGTCTGTCGTGGCTCTGCTAGTCGTCATTGAGGCAATTCTTCTAAGGGCCACTAACTTTGTTCGCCTGTTCAATGCATTGGCCACTTGATTGATTTTTCCAATGGTGTGCTCAAAATAAAAGTCGAACTCCGTTAAAAATTCTTGCCATTTAGCTTGTTTCGCTGTAAGCCTTGGTTGGGTGAAGAAGTGGCTAACGATCGCATTGTCTGTTTTCACGATAAAGTGTGAACCCAACAAATAATGTCGCCAAACCCTCAAGCAATGAACTACTGCCATGAGCTCTTTTTTTGGGCCGTATATTTTCTTTCAGCTTCGCTTAGCTTATTACTTTCAAATGCTATCGGATGATGTTGTTGTAAAAGCACTCATTCAATAGCGAAATCAGATGCATCCGTCTGAACTTCGAAAGGCTTTTCAATGTCAGGGAAAGCTAAGATGGGATCCTTCATAATAGCATTCTTTAATCCCTCAAAGGCCTCTTGGCACTCACTCGTTCAACATCATTTATGCTCCTTCTTCAATAGCTCCGTGAGGACCGTGGTCTTGCGAGAGTACCCTTCCTTAAACCTTCTATAATAGTTGGCTAGTCTAAAAAATGAACGGAGTTCACTAACATTCTTTGGTGTTATCCACTCCTTGATGGTCTTAACCTTTTTCATGTCTATTCGAATGTGGCCACGTTCGACAATGTGACCGAAAAAATGGATTTGGGTATGAATAAATGCATACTTTTCCCTTTTCACGTACAACTAGTGGTCCTGTAACCTTCGAAGCACTTGACGCTGGTGTTCTTGATGTTCTTCCAGAGTGGAGCTATATACCACTATGTCATCTAAATAGATGACTACAAATTTGTCTAAGTAGTCATGAAACACCTGATTCATCAATGTACAAAATGTGGCAGGAGCATTGGTCAGTCCAAAGGGCATAATAAGAAATTCAAATGCACCATACCGTGTTACACAAGTGGTCTTTGGCTTATCTCCCTCGATGATTCTGACCTGATGGTAGCTAGATCTCAAGTCCAATTTGGAAAAGTACTTGGCCTGGCTCAATTGATCAAACAAATCTGCTATAAGAGGGATGGGATATTTATTTCTGACGATGACTTTGTTCAGGGCCCTGTAGTCAACACATAATCGTAAACTCCCATCATGCTTCTTCTAAAATAGCATTGGCACTCTGAAAGGAGCCTTTGATGGTCTAATGAACTCGACTTGTAGAAGCTCATCTAGTTATTTCCTTAGTTTGGCCAACTCTGGCAGGGCCATACGGTAAAGAGCTCTAGCAGGGGGTTTCGCTCTTGGAAGGAGCTCAATTTCATGATCCACTGCTCGTCGAGGGGGTAGAATCTTAGGCAATATCTTTGGTATCACCTCTTCGAATTCTTCTAATACCTTTTTCACGCTATCGGGTATCGGTTCCACTTCTGACCCTTTTTTGTAGATTGACATGGCCACAAATGAGGGTTTTCCTCTTTTTACCCTTTTTTTGAATTGTAAAGTTGAAATCATTTTCTTTCCACTCTTTGGTAAGATATTGGCCGACACCACGCATAGGTGTTCCTCTAAGAACAACAAACAGCTAGCGACGGGGATAGGGATCATTTGAGCCAACATCATGAAGTTCAATCCGAAGATGACATCAAAGTCATCCATGGAGGAAACTGTAAAGTCTACCTTCCCTTTCTATGGCCTCAATTTAGTTGTCACACTCTTGGAGCTTTCACTGATCGTAAAGGCTGGTGAATTGATCACCTTCATTCGTCTATAATCTTTACTAACTTGAAGACCACACCTTTTTACTTCTTCTGGTGTGATGAAGGTATCGGTTGCACCCGTATCTACCATGACCTTGATGGCCTTCTCATTGATCGTTAAGTTTATATACATCAGACCTCTACTTTATTCTTTCTTTATTGTGTTCAGTTGGGTGTGGAAGGCATTAAGGAACCTTATTGAACCCATCATGATCGGTTCCTCTTCAACTTCTTCAACGCTCTCTGGTGCTTTTGCGGACTCTTAAGACGAGGTCCTTAAGACATTAAAGGCTCCTCTGTGTGAGCATTCGACCACCCGATAGGGTCCCTTGCAAAGAAAGCAAGCTAGCGATTACCTAGGCTTAAAAATCACTGCGTTGCTTGTCTTGGGTTGGGTACTATCTCGACCAAAGGACCTCCTGTCTGATCCCCCACTGAAAGGCTGGTCCAACCTAGTCATCTTTCTCCCACTCTCAAAATTGAAGCTATTGCCAGCTGATGGAGGATTTTTTCATTTTGAGAAGCCATCATTATAATCGCAGAGACGTTCAGCTGCAGCCATGACCGTGGCCATGTCTTGCACTTTTTATCTTTGTAGTTCTGTCCTGGCCCAAGGCTTGAGGCCCTCAAAAAAATAAAACAACTTATCTTTTTTGGACATGTCTCGAATATCCAATATCAGGGTAGAAAAGCTCTTTACAAACTCTCACACTGTTCCCGTTTGCACCAACTCTCGAAGCCTCTTTCGAGCCATATACTCCATATTATCAGGGAAAAATTGATTTTTCAGTTTTCATTTCAGGTCCGTCCAAGTCTTAATCGGACACTCGTCATTGAAAAACTTGGAGTGCCACCATAGCTTGGCATCTTTTGCGAGGTACATCGACGCCATTGCTACCTTGTCTTCCTCTGAATCTGTGTGTACAGCTCGAAAGTACTGTTTCATGTCAAATAAGAAATTTTCAAGCTCCTTAGCATCCCTTGCCCCCTCATAGCATCGAGGCTCCAGTACCTTGGGCCTTTTCTCTCATTCCGTTGAGCTCGAATCTGATCTGGCCACAGCCATTTGTAAGATGCTCACCTGTGCTCTGAGCTCCTCAAACTCCTTTTGGAGAATATTCAAGGCATCTCTAGCTTCCTCGCTCACGTTGTGGAGAGTATCGGATAATTCTCGTTGGGTTGTCTCGATCTTTAGTCACCATGTGAGTTTTCATTACGGCCACCGCGGCCTCAAGTTCCTCAATTCTCTGTTGGTAATTGGGTCCACCACTTGTGGCCATCACCTCCATTTCCTAACACTTCTCAACCGTGCTCTGATACCACGTGTCACGGACTAAGCTTTTTCTCAACAAGCAATAGACCGTGCGGCACTTAAATGGACGCTTCCACTCAAGTCAGCCTTCAACAGTTCGATATCTGAACAAATAACCATAAGCCATGGTTAGTCCCAATCATTCACAATAAGGCATATTATATCGAGATTAATCTCAAGCACACACAAGAAGGCACATTCACATCGAGAAAAAAGAAAAACACATCGAGGCAACATTCGATACATTCAATCGGGGTGAATTTTATTATAATCGAGAATCATACATCAGGACTTTCCACTATCACCAGGGCCAAGAGGCAGCCCTTAGTGAATGGCCTAGGCCCGCATAGCAACCGGTGAGACAGCTTAACAGTATGCTGTCGGCTCACCTCCTAAAGAGCCTTAGAGATTTTAGAGCTATGCTACCACTAACCATTACAATGTTTGAAATGGAGACACTTTTCCTAACACAAGAGATCTATCCGATCATGACCCTATACATGGGTGGCTCATGACAACTTAAGCCTCGATCATGGTGGCTCATGACACCTAGCTTGGCCTCATACGGAGAAAATTGGCGAAACCTTAGAGGAATCGCATCTATTGAGATTTTATCAGCTACCCGCCTCCAGATGTTGGCTAGCATACGCAACGATGAGGTGAAGTCATTGATTCGCAAGTTCTTGGATCATCAAAACCAGTCTGTTGAAATGAGAACAGCGTTCTTTGAGTTAACTCTCAATGTGATGATGGGGATGTTAGCAGGAAAAAGGTACTATGGAGAGAACTTGGAGGATGTGGAGGAAGCTAGACGGTTTGGAGAGATACATGTGGAGACATTCAAGCTAATTGCCAAAATAAATATTGGAGACTTTTTGCCTTGGGTCAAGTCTATAGATTTTGAAAAGAAGTTGATAGAGTGTCGAAACAAGAGAGACAAGTTCATGCAGGATTTGATAGAACAACAAAGAAGAAGAATGATGAATAATTGTGATGCAACAAGGAAAAAGACAATGATTGAGGTTTTTTTATCGCTGCAAGAGTCAGAACCTGAGTATTACTCGGATCAGATTATTAGAGCCCTCGTACTAGTAAGATCTAAATTCTCTTCCCTGTTTTCATATTTGCTGGGGATAATTTGAAAAGCAAGTACCTATAGTTTGCATGATACTATTAATCTGCCAAATGTGTAGTTTCTTGACCAATTTGCCTCATATACAGGAATATAATTAGTAATTAGTAAATATTATCTATATATTGAACTCTAGACTAATTAATTTAAAACCTACTGAAAGTTCATATATTGATTTTTGCTTTTTCTCTAATGATGATGGAAGATTTGGATGAGATATTCTCCCCCAAAGAATAAACATAGAGACAGGAAGCTGCTAACCAAAACCATATAAAATATACTTCCTCTTTAAAAGAATTTGAGGCTTGGTAGTTGGTAGTAAGAGCCCCTTAAGCTGACTCCCCAGATCCCATTTCCAGTCCCTGCTTTCTCCAAGAGGGCTACGTTCTATATGACTTATAACAAAAAAATTTATAATTATATCTTAAAGGAAAAGGATTCAAACTTTGACATTTTTTAAAACAAAATTGTGGTTACCATTTAAATTATGCCCCAATCAGAAGTTAGAAAATCTTGATCAAGCACAACCCTTATCGATGCCTTATAATTTACCAATACTATGATTTCCATAGGCTCTACTGTTATCAGGAATAAATATTACTGTTTAAACGATGCCTCAATCAGAAGTTTCAATAATCTTGATTAAACACTACCTTTGTTAATGTCTTTCGTATGATTAACTAATACGAGGATTTTCGTAGGTTCTGTTGTTGGCAGGAACAGATACTACAGTCAATGCAATGGAGTGGGCATTTTCACTTTTGCTTAACCACCCTGAAGTACTTAAAAAGGCTAAAGCGGAAATAGATAATAGAGTGGGATATCACCGTCTAATTGATGAGTCCGACCTAGCCCAACTTCCTTACCTCCATTGCATCATCAATGAAACATTGCGCATGTACCCATCGGCGCCGCTACTACTACCCCATGAATCATCCAATGAGTGCTTGCTAGGGGGTTTTCATATTCCACGTGGCACGACCCTATTAGTGAATATGTGGGCCATACAAAATGATCCTAAGATTTGGGTGGATCCGACAAGATTCTTTCCAGAGAGGCTTGAAGGGCTAGAGGGCACGAGAGATGGTTTTAGGTTGATGCCATTTGGGTCAGGAAGAAGGGGGTGTCCTGGAGAAAACCTGGGACTAAGAATGGTTGGATTAACATTGGGGTCATTGATTCAGTGCTTTGAGTGGTCTAGGATTGGTAAGGAGCTGGTGAACATGAGGGAAGGAGCAGGCTTCACCATGCGCAAGGCTCAGCCACTGGAAGCTAAATGCACGCCATGCCCAACCATGCTACATTTCTCAAACTTGATCCGAGTTGGCCACTTGACCCTAAGATGAAATAAGCCCAGACATGTTGATTGTCAAAATACACATTGCTTTCAGCTGTAATTTTCGATTTTGAAATACTACTGATAGAAAACCAGGAAAATGTCAACTATTTTTAGCACTTTCTTCCAATTTTTAGTTTTCACATAATGCAAAACATGTCTATAGAAGGAATAGGGAATCAATTGACAACAATGAAAAAGAAGAATGAATGCGTAGCACTCGTGTAACCTTTTTCGATTTATATCAGTGGCTATGGTTTGATATGCGGATGCTACAGCACTGGACTGTAAAGTGAGCACATATACTTCTGTCTTCTGTAACACTTTATTTTTATAGGCCGGTAGAGTTTCGACGTACTATTTTCATTAAAATTTATTTGAATAAGTGATAAAATTGATTTTTTATAAAATTTAAAATAATAATAATTATTATTACAATTATAATTGAAAAAAAATTTATATTAAATAAATTTAATTGATAATATAATTAACTTAATTGTATCATATTAAAAATATAATAAAATTCAAACCCCTAATTAGTCTCAACTTTAACATGAACTGGACAAAAAATTTATATTAATTCATAGCAACAATCATTGAATGGAAGAGAGTCGTTTGAAATAGTAAAACTAGTACACAGTACTAAATTTACAAGAAGAAGAATGTACAGAACACATTAAAAAGAAAGGCAAAGGATGTTCTTGGCTACCTTAAATTTTCTAGTAGCTGACATTTTTGTCAAACAGTTTCAATGTACTTAGAACAATGCTGAATCTGTCTCCATGGAAGCTTTGGCTTTGGTTCACTGTAGTGACCGTCATTCCATGTGGTTTCCACACGCTTCTTTCTTCTGTCCCATATCATATAAGTAACACTCCCACTTTAGAAAATGACCACACAACTTGATAAATCCACTTTTCCTTTATGGGACCAGCAAAGTGGGTACTAGTACTAAATTACAAATATTTTTTAATTTTTATTCTCAAAAACAAATATATTTTTATTTTAATTTAAAAGAATTAAATACTACAGCCTAATTTTTTATATACTTCCTTGGTCGTCATTAGCATTAACTAAATAGAAAATTATTAGTTTTTGAATAAATAAAAAAATATTATAGTATTGGAATAAAAAAATTATTTGCGTTAAATTTTAAAATTTAAATTTATTAAATATAATTTTTTTAAAAAATAATTAATTGAAAATTTTAAATTAATATCATTATAATATATTGTATTTTACTTAAAATCGAGAATTGTGAGTAATAATAAATGAATCAAAAGCTTTAAATAAAAAAAAAGGACAAAATTTAAGTTGAGTGAAAATTATTTTAGTAAAATTTGGGAAAATTTTAAATTAAAAAATAATACTTAAATAAACACACTAACATATAAAAGTGGTTTTTTAGTTCTATCTGACGTGTCGCTGTCTTAATGGTGGAAACCACCTATTGCAACTTTTACATGTTATAATCTGTAACCCTTCTCTGTATCTGAAGAAAAGAAACCGACATAAATTCTACTCCTAACGACGCTCGACGGCGGAGCTATCCTCCCAACGGAACCGTATCGGCGGCAGCTAAACAAACAAACAGAATATTCCTCCTCGGACGATGAGTTCCCAAATCCGAGAGGAGGAGTCATCGAAAGAAGAAGCGGGCAAAGACACCGCGGAGGTATCCGAATTCAAACGCCTCTTACCATCCCAATCTCCTTCCCCGTCGTCGACCGATGATGAAAACGAGGTCGCATTCGAATCCAGAGAGAAAATCGTGATCGTCGACGTGGAAACACCAGAATCCATCGAAAACGTCGATTATGTCCCTCCGTTTTCCTGGAAGAAGCTCTGGTTGTTTACGGGACCGGGTTTTCTAATGAGTATAGCGTTTTTAGATCCGGGGAATTTGGAAGGGGATCTCCAGGCTGGGGCAATTGCGGGTTACTCTTTGCTTTGGTTGTTGATGTGGGCCACCATCACGGGCTTGCTGATTCAGTTGTTATCGGCTCGGCTCGGGGTGGCTACTGGCCGGCATCTAGCGGAGCTCTGCCGGGAGGAGTATCCGACTTGGGCTCGTTTTATGCTGTGGTTCATGGCGGAATTGGCGCTTGTTGGAGCTGATATCCAGGAGGTTATTGGGAGTGCTATAGCTATCCAAATTTTGAGTAATGGAGCTTTGCCGCTATGGGCTGGGGTTTTGATTACAGCATTGGATTGGTAAAAGTCCTTAATTTGTTGAATTTATTGTTCTTTTTTACTTGAATTTTGGATCGATTCCCAAGTTTCGATTTTTTTCTTTATCTGGGTGATATTTTTGATTTGTTTGAATTTAAATTTTGAGGCCTTTTGCGTTTCTGGGTGTTAACTGGTGAAGATCAAGTCAGATTCTATTATTTTAAATCGAAAATTGATGTTTTTTTTTCCACCTCTAACAAGTGTTTTATCCTCTCTTTGTTTACAGTTTTATCTTTTTGTTCCTGGAGAATTATGGAGTCAGGAAACTAGAAGCTGTTTTTGCTGTTTTAATTGCGACTATGGCTTTATCATTTGCTTGGATGTTTGGTGATACAAAACCCAGTGGAAAAGAAGTACTAATTGGTATTTTTTTAAATGATAATCATTTTGCATGAAGTGAATATTTCATTTTTTTAGTATGATTTTATTTTTGCGATTGTTGTAGGTATTTTGATTCCTCGACTTAGCTCAAAAACAATTCGGCAAGCTGTTGGGGTTGTGGGCTGTGTCATAATGCCTCATAACGTATTCTTGCATTCTGCTTTGGTACAATCAAGAAAGATAGATCCCAAGAAGAGAGGCCGGGTTCAAGAGGCACTAAACTACTACTCAATCGAGTCATCTGTCGCGCTTCTGGTTTCCTTCATGATCAATTTGTTTGTGACAACTGTCTTTGCCAAGGGATTCTATGGTACAAAACAAGCAAATAACTTAGGACTAGTTAACGCAGGGCGGTATCTTGAGGAGAAGTATGGTGGAGGACTCTTTCCAATTCTCTATATATGGGGTATTGGGTTGCTAGCAGCTGGACAAAGTAGTACAATAACTGGCACATATGCTGGGCAGTTTATAATGGGAGGTTTTCTGAACCTTCGTCTGAAGAAGTGGTTGAGGGCATTGGTTACACGGAGCTTTGCAATTGTGCCAACTATTATTGTAGCTCTTGTGTTTAACACGTCTGAAGCCTCGTTGGATATTTTGAATGAATGGCTTAATGTACTTCAGTCAATACAGATTCCGTTTGCACTCATCCCACTTCTAACCTTTGCCTCCAAGGAGCAGGTTATGGGGGTCTTTAGGATTAGTCCTATTCTTGAGGTAAGCTTTTTTGTTTCAGTTGTCTTTTATTTTATCTGTAATTGCTTCACATGAGTGACTATTGGTAGTTTACTGCAGCCTGCATGTTGTAATAACTGAAGCATCTGCAGTTGTCATGTTTGAAATCAATACGGAGTCATTTTGTGTATATTATTATGAACTTTCATGTTGTTTCAAACATTTTAATTGCAAAGAGAACAGGATAAGAAACATAGTCAACTGCCACAAGTTTCTATTGCTATCACCATAACAGCTTGCTTCACTTTTATCCCTCTCCTCATCTTCTAGGTTTTTTATCATTTAAACATAGTAACTTGAATTGGTTTTTTATCCTGGAAACCAACATTTTATCAAGTTTTTTATACTAGTAATGCAAAACTTGCAATCAATTGACCCATATAATATGTCCTGTCACTGATATTCCTTATGATTTACTCATCCGTAGGCTCATTGCTCTCATTTTGTCATCAATGATACTCTCTAGGCCTATTCAGTGAAAATGAATGAAACTGTGCTGATATATGTTATGCTTGCTTTCCTGTGTAGAAAGCGTATGAAATGGAGTGATCATGACATTTTTTGGAGGCTAATCCCAAATTACCTTAGGGCTATGTTATGATCTCATGCTGTTCAGAAGTTGACATTTTCATTGCTATTGGTTTGGTTATTCTATATAGATGTCCATTCATTTGCAAAATATGTTGTAGTACCAAAATTTTGAGGATTGTTTCCAAGTTTGGTAGTCTTAGGGGGTAGACAAAGACACCAATTAGTTCCGGTGAGACTTTATAACCCTCAAATCAAATGAGATTTCACTTAAAATTACATGCTTTTGAAAGGGTGTTATTAAAGAGCGTGAAGTTCACTCTATAGTGCCATTAGGATCCATTAAATTTCCTACACAATTTTTTTTGAGAGGGCATTTGACTCTAGTGGGAGTCATTGTCTTTTGACCTTGTGTGGTATTTGGTAACCGGAAATACAGCTGTGTATGAACCCATGGAGATACCTATGCAGCAATTTGATGCATACAGTTCGGTATTTGCTAATTTTTTAAATATATAGGAGTTATCCATACCTCCTGTTGTAATTCTTGATTATTCAGCCTTTCCTGCCAGTGAAGGCCTTTCTAGGAAAATAAAGCTTCAAATTTTATCTTTCAGCTTTATGCAAAATTCAAAAAATCTTAGCAAGCTTTCGATTTTTCGGAAAATGAAAATGGACTGGAACATTTTGTTTTTTGGTGTCTTCAGTTCACAAAGTTAGAATATGTAATTTAATTTATTAGTCCTTATCATCATTCTTTAATTTTACCATTCTTTTCAATTGTATATGCAACATACCAGTTGTCTTGAGCTATATCAACCATTATATATGCAACATACTAGTTACCATTCTTTTCATAGGCATTGGCTTGAGCTGCTGTGGTTGATATTAAAAGAATGAATGGTTTCATGTATGAATTATAAACATAGCTAAATTTGATGGTTTATGTTTTGTGTTATTTTTCAGAGACTGGCCTGGACTGTGGCTGCCCTGGTAATATTAATCAATGGGTATCTTTTACTGGACTTCTTTATTTCAGAAGTCAAGGGACTGCTGTTTGGACTATTGATCTGTATATGGGCAGCTGCATATATAGCATTCATTGTTTATCTTGTTTCACGTGGCAGTGCTCTTCCTTCAACTTGGTTCAGCATAGAACTATCCAAGAGATATTCTGTCATCGGAAGTTAAAAGAGTCAAGAAAATGCAGTCAGTGCTAGGAATAACCAATTCTCAGAATTATATAGCTGTCTTTTGTACACCAATAATCTTGAATATACATATCCAAACAATAGAAAGCAGCTGGTTCGAGATCTACAGCATTGCATGTCAGAGCTGCACAAAGTTATATTTTATCTCATCAATCATGTAAGGATAACCCTTTTTTTTTGTTTTTTGGATTCCCTTTCATTCCTGAAGATGGAGGAAACATTTTTACAACCTGCAGGCTGAACTACTTTCATTTGTAATAGGTTTTGTCTTGTCTAGTTCATAGTAAAGTTAGATGAAACTGCTTAGTTTTATATTCCTGAATATAACAGCATCCCATGTACCATAGTCAGACTGCCATTCTTGTTTCCCGGAAGGGACCATACGATACAACAAGAAATGAATCTTGCGATTCCCATGTTTGGAGTCTGAATCATACTCTCTTAATTCCAGAAGTTCATTTTCTGTTGTCTGTTCTTTTGTTGTTCATTAAACTGTAATCTATCTTCATTTTCCCCCGGTATGGCGAACTATAATACAAATATAACGATCACTTTTTCTGAAGAGTGTGCTAAGGACACTTATTAAGGTGCTATTTATAATATTCTACCATTAGACATTGTAGTTGAAAATGATCCGATGATTTCTCACCTATTGAGTGAATGTATTACATAATATAATAACATTAGCAAGTGCTTTTAGAGCGTTGTTGACAATTTGGTAAGTTTGGTATCTCATTAACGTGTTGGAAAATCTATCAAACTTCTGCATTTACGTTTAGGTTGAATGCTAAGATGCTAGAAATTTCATGGAAGTGGCCAGGCACTTGTTAGTAAAGGTCATTCTGTGGCATTGCTTGGGAAATATAATATTCTCTTTCCATTATGGGGGATTGATATTGCTATGTCAAAAAAAAAAAAAAGAAGAAAGAAGGGAGTAATATGAAAGTACATCCAGTTTAAAAAGAAAATAAAGAGTGGAAAAATTATCTAATGCACTCTAATGACAATTTTTAAATTTCATTCTCGTTAGGATATATTCAAAAAAGTTTAATAAATTAATATACTCATAAATAATGAAAACACATGATAACATTTTAATCTTATGAAATTTAAATTATACTTGTATAATCTAAAATACTAATCCAAATTAAAATTTCTTTATTTGGCTAAAAAAATTCTTAATTATTTCATCTCTATTTTGCTTATCTTTTCATTTTTATCATGTATATATATGCATGTATATGTGTAATCATTTAGGATAATCACAAGTAATAATGAATTTTTATATTGAAATTGGAGATAACAATTGTGGTTATTTGAATTTAAATCCAAACTTTATAATATATCATAATTCTTTTATTTAATTATTCGATCAAAAAGTTATTTGAGTAATGAATTATATAGCAACCGCATTGAAAGCTCTTTTGAATTGCACCATAATTAAAGTCAAACTGGAAATTACTTCTAACGCGGTTTTAACAGGATTTACTAGATGATTTGCAGGAATATGAGTAGGAAAATTCAGGCAATCTTTGCTATTAAAACCATGTGTACTAACATTCCAAGGGGCGGAAAAGAACTAAATTGGGCATTTGTGTAAAAGAAAATTTTCCAAGGTTGTTTCAACTTATAGTAACAATAAAAGAAAAGGATCAGGCATTTTCCCAGTCATTTCAATACGGAACTCAACAACCACAAACAATTTAAACACATATTTTTTTCGTTAATTTATAAATCTAAAACAATTCTTAAATTCTCGTTAATAGAGTTAATGTAAATGGTTAAATTTTGAAATTTAAATGCAAAGCACCTCAATTCAAACCTTCATAATCTTTGTTAACAAGTGATTTGTAAATTTAAAAAATTCTCATGAAAACAAATCTATAAATCCACATATAATTTTGAAAATTGTGAAAACTTGGCTTCCTCTGCTCCTAATCTTATTTTGAATAAAAATTTTTTTTCTCAAAGCATAGATACCGTCCACGCGTGTGTAAATTTTGTGAACTGAATATCTAATGGTACTTTTTAAGGTTAATATAATAAAGTTTGTTATATATCAATATAATTTTTTAATGTTATAAATATTTTATTTTTAATTAATTTTATTGTATTTTATCATGTTATTAATTCAATTTATAAAATCTAAAAATGATGAAATAAGTTCTTTGAGGGAGAAAACAAAAAAGCCATAGAGTTGTTTAGCAATAGGTCAGCGATGGTGGAGTAGAGACCAGACCAGATAGACAGACGGACATACAACCGAGGAACACGGAAAACAAGGACCAACTTTCCATAAATTGCATGCAAAATTTTTTTTTCAGCAATAATTTTCTTGTTTCTTAAGTTAGCCTTATCTATCTCTACACTTTCACTCTCCATCTATAACTCTTTCCCAGTCTCTTTCCAATTTTTAGATGTAAAAAACAAAAATAAAAAATTTGTTTCATATAACTTCTTGAATTACAAAATTTATCCGACCTTATCTCCTTTTTTTATCTTGGTTATAAACATTGTGCTTTCAAAACCAACCCAAAAACCCTTCTAAAACTCACTCTTTCTTGCTTTATCTTCCCTTCTAATTCTTTTTGGTTTTGATGGAGGCCGTGCAAGGAAGCCGTTCGTTCTTTCAAACGAAAACATTTGGGGCTCCAGTTTCACGGTCACCGGAAAGTTATCTACCTCTTTATCATAACCTAGAACCTGTATTTGCAGAAACTTCCGTACAATACAACCTTTTTGAAGAGAACCCTTTTGATCAAGCCCTAGAATCAGGCTTTTCTCGTCTCAATGTGTCAACGAAGAAGAACCAAGAGTTTCGCTATCCGAGTGTTGTTGGTGGTGAATTATTTGAGGGGTCCGGGTATGGGTTTGGTGGTGGGTTGGCGAGAACAGAACTAGAGAGAAACAATGTTGTTGTTGAGGGTCTGAATGTGGGTTTTGATGGGGTGATGAGGATGGGCCCAGATATTGATAGTTGGGATACTGTCATGTCTAGTTCGCATCAGCCGTCCAATTTAAATAGAAATTGGTATTTGTTTGATTCAAGAAGAAATGAACTTTTCAACGAATTCTCAATGGTACCCTCTTTCAATCCAAATGGATTGGCGGCTGCTGCTGCTGGTGCCGGTTGCTCAAGGGCTTCTTGTTCAAACAACAAGAATAATAACAATAATAATAATAATCAGACTAACAATTGTTTTAGGAGGCATCATTGGTTACAAGAGCCTTTGAATTTTTTGAGTCTAAGTGATTTGAGAGGTAGGTTTGTGTCCTTAGCAAAAGATCAATATAGTTGTAGGTTTTTACAAAGGGTTATTGGTGGAGCTTCAAAGGAGGAAATTGATATGATTTTCATGGAGATTATTCATCATGTTGGTGAGTTGATGTTGGACCCTTTTGCGAATTATGTTGTTCAAAAAGTTGTGGATGTTTGTAGTGAGGAACAGAGAAGTCAGATTCTTTTAATGGTTGTTAAGGATGGTTTTCAACTTGTTAACATTTGTCTCAATGTTCATGGGTATGTTTGGTTTGGTTTATTATCGTTTTTTTTGTTTTTCTAAGAAAAAGTTTGTTTCCAATAACTTCTTCATTTTGGTGGCAGGACTCGTGCTGTACAGAAATTGTTGGAGAAACTTACTACTCAACAGCAAATCTCGTTAGTTATGTCAGCTCTAAGCCCTGGCGCTGTTGCATTGACCAAGGACATGAATGGTCATCATGTGATCCAGTACTGCTTGAAAAATTTCTCTTATGAAGATAATAAGGTAACATCCAAGAGTTAGGAGTAGTGGATCGGTTGCTATATTGATCTTGTTTCAATTTAATTGTTTCACTGTGCATTTGTTCGTCTTGCTTTTTAAATAGATATGTTCAGTCATTTGAATTAAATTGCAGAGGTTACTATGATAATTCATCTCTAAAAAATTATAACAATGAAATAGATGCATTAACTGCTGCTTCTCCTCCTCCTTTTGTTTTATACATTTGTTGATGTCGAACACAATTTGTGACCATTGATTTTCCCTGGCAGTATCTTCTGAATGAGGTGGCGGATAACTGTTATCAAATTGCAACAGACAAAAGTGGATGTTTTGCACTGCAGCAAAGTGTTGACCACTCTAAAGGAGAGGCAAGAGCGCTTCTAGTTCGAGAGATAATGGCAAATGCTCTACACCTAGCCGAAGATCAATATGGGTAAGTGGTTCTTTGAAACCTAATGTGATAGTTCCTGAAAAGTTAGTATGCTTGTGTGTGTGTGTTTATTGAAAAGGTCTTCCTTTGTTGCTTCATTTCCTTGCTTTGTTATGGAGCTTAATATATATTTTAGAAACTTGTAAACAATGAACTGCAATTTCTTAGAGCTTGATAAACTCCTGCCTTTTGTGTTTCTTTTTTTTTTTTTTCCTCTAGAAACTATGTGGTTCAACATATACTGGGACTGAAAGAGCCACAAATAACAGAAAGTCTTCTGAGACAGCTTGAAGGGAATTTTGCATCTCTTTCCTGGAATAGGTATGGAAGCAATGTTGTGGAGAAGTGCTTGGTGGAATCAGGAGAACAGCAGTCAACAAGAATTATAATGGAGTTGCTTAGTAGTCCCATCGTGTCAATGCTTCTTGTGGATCCTTTTGGAAACTATGTTATGCAAACAGCTTTGTCAGTGTCTAAGGTTAGATAATTATCACACTTCGCTGCTTCCATTTTCATATACGGTCCTTTGGTGCAATTGCAAAGGTGTTTATGCATGGTACATCTAGATATAAATGTCTTAATTACTACTTCACTAATCTATTGCACCTGGATACGGTTGGGTTAGGCACTCAGAAAGGTTTGGCCAGTGTGATTATAGGAGTAAATTCTTTCATCTAACTTTCTATAAAATTCGGTTTATATGAAAGGGACCTCTGTTTTGTCAGCTATTCAAAACAACTTTGGCCCGATTTTCAGCTAGGCCATATCAGTATTACTGCAACATGGAATGATTTACACAAGCTTAACTCTTAATAGCAACGTAGGCTCCAGCTTATTTTGGTTGTGATGTTTCTTTTAATTGCATGAGCAGGGATTTGTTTACCATGCTTTGCTGAATCTGGTGCGGGTAAACTCTCCAATGATGCGCAGCCATAATTATGGAAAATGGGTACTCGCCTGGTTGGACAAGAGAAAGCTGCTACACATGTAAACTTACAAAATTACAAAGCATAACATGAAGAGATATCCTAATAAGAGATTTTCACTATAAATATCTCATTCATATGGATAGAATTAGGATTTTGTGTGCCGAGTTTATAACTGATCTGATCAATCATTGTGTAGGATTATTGTTGGTGCTTGTTGTGTGTATTTATGTATTTTTTATTGGGATATTTGATAGCGGTGGCCATGGATACTCTGCAGTTGGATACAGACTAACATGAAAAGTTGAGGTATAATCATTCTTTAGGGGATTCGAAAATGGAATACACCATATTTGAGGTTTTTTTCGCTTGTGTTTTGTCCACACCATACTTCTAATCACTTCCTTTTATGCGGGCATTGATTTACTTGTATTATTTGAATTCTTTTTTTTTCCTCGTTCAAGTGGTTCTTGCAGCCTTCTAATGTATGCAATTATGCAGTTACAACACTGTTGTTGCTAGAGGTATTTATAATTCAGTTTTAATCGAATTAAATAATTGATCTGATTTAATTCATTTAATCGATCGGTTATCGAATTAATTTTGATCGGTTATCAAAAATTAATTTAAAAAAAAATTAATTTTTGATTAATTCGATTTAAAAATCAAATTAATCAAAATTTTAATTGAATATTATAAAATCTATATATAAAACTAAAAATATAAGAAATTGTTTATTTCATTTCAAGTTATGAGAATTTTTAATTTAATATTTTGATGTTTGAATATTTTTATTAGATAATTTTATTTAATTTGTTTCATATATAAAATAATAAAAATTTAAAATATAATTTAATTTAATATATTTTATTATTTGATTAATCCAAAAAATTAATTAAATTGATCAAATTAATTTTGATCTATTAATTTTTAAAATTAAATAATTTAATTTGATTAATAAAAATAAAATAACATAATTTGATTAATTTAATTTTTAATAATTCAATTCAGAATTAATTGAATAGACTAAATTCACATCCTAATTATTGCAAGTGCACGTATAAAATATTTTATGTTTTGAAACTTGAATTGAAAGTAGTGATACTTGCGCAAAGATTTTCACTCTGTGAAACCGCTCCTATTTTTCGGAGGAGAAACCATGGTTTAGCCATGCATTAGGGAATGAAAATGGCATGATAAAGGGTGTAAAAGTCAAGTGAAGTAATCGGTTCAAAATCACATTCATGTCAACCCATGAAAATGGCAACAAATACAAGTGAAGTTTTCATTCTTAAAACGAGGCTCCTCCAATGGCAAAAATCATGCTCGCTCTTTGGGCACGTTTCTTTGCAAGATCGTGATTCTTGGTGTAATTTCCCCCCACCACTCACCACTCCCCTTATTTCTTTGTTACCACTGTTCAAACTTTTTTTTTTTTTTAGCTAAAGTGAATTTTAAAGGAAAATGTTAAGCAAGAAAAACATATATAAATTAATATTATTTTAATTTTCATAAAAATAATACATTAAATACAAATTTTTAAAATAAAATATTATTAATTAAACCGGTAATAACTGCATCCGTTATATTCACCGTTTACATTGACTAAAACTCTGTTCAAATCCATTACGTGGCTTTTCATGATTGGCTCAAAACTATGTCAGTTAAAATTTAAAAAAAAAAACTAGTATAATTTTCTTTTTCTTTTTAAAGGAGTGCACTCTAGAGGGTCTTCCGTCTGCAATGGTCTGTCGTCGTTGACCTCTATCTGGAGCCAAAAGTGACGCGCCATGGCTCGAACCTGGCTTCACCTAACCTCGTCGTCCCTTCTAATACTCTATTCCGTGATCTGGTTCAATCTCTCCGCCGTCGATGCAAAAAATCATCACCAACGGCCAATGGTCCTTCCTCTACATCTATCATCACGCAATCATTCCTTCCACCGACACGTGGATAATCTCCGCCGTCATCTCCAGCAATCGGAGCTCTCTCGTTCCAGTCCAAACGCTCGCATGAGACTCTACGATGATCTCCTTTCCAACGGGTCTCTCTCCAATAAAATAAGTTCCTTTTTTTTTTCTTTTTGAATTTTCGAAATATTGAGGAATTCTTTTTTTGGTAATTTGCAGATATTATACGACTCGGTTATGGATAGGAACGCCGCCTCAGGAATTCGCTCTTATCGTCGACACCGGAAGTACTGTAACTTATGTTCCTTGCTCCAGTTGTGCACGGTGCGGCAAGCATCAGGTTCGGTTCCGTCTGATCAAGTTCGTACAGTTCAGCTTTCCCAGTTGTTAATTGTAATTAATAAATTTGAAAATTGATGCTTTGTTTGAATTAAGATTGAGATTATTAACTTTAATTAATTTGAAATTAGTGGAGTTATTAGCTTACTAGAATATTAAAGAAGTTAAATGGCGACTTTGAGTCTTAAATTTTTACCATTCTAATTAGAAAGTGAGTTATGCTTGGCTGCTAGATTTAGAATCTTTGTGTAGTTTCTTGATTTGCAGATCTGTTAGTTAGAAATTAATTAGGGGAACTGGTGATTTTATGGCAATATTAATCTCTTGTTGGAATCCAGGATCCAAGATTCCGACCAGATTTGTCTAGCACTTATCAACCTGTAAAATGCAATCCAAGTTGTAATTGTGATGATGAGCAAAAGCAATGTACTTATGATAGACGGTATGCTGAGATGAGTTCCAGCAGTGGGGTGCTTGCGGAGGATGTTGTTTCTTTTGGGAATGAAAGTGAACTTGTGCCTCAGCGTGCCGTTTTTGGTTGCGAAAATATGGAAACGGGTGATCTTTACAACCAACGAGCTGATGGTATAATGGGTTTGGGTCGGGGCCGGCTTAGTATTGTTGATCAACTTGTTGATAAGAGTGTTATTGGTGATTCATTTTCTTTGTGCTATGGTGGGATGGATGTTGGCGGAGGTGCAATGGTTCTCGGAAAAATCACTTCTCCCCCTGAAATGATTTTCACCCATTCAGACCCTTTCCGCAGGTATACTTCTATTACAGGATCGTATTTGTGGATGTTTTTTTCCTAATAATGCGTCTGGTACTTCTTACACATTCACTTTAGTTTTTGAATGTCAACAGCCCTTACTACAACATTGAGCTTAAGGATATGCATGTTGCTGGAAAGCGATTGAAGTTACCCACTGGGGTCTTTGATGGAAGGCATGGAACAGTCTTGGACAGTGGAACAACATACGCTTACTTTCGAAAAGATGCTTTTGTTGCATTTAGAGATGCTGTAAGATCTAATAGCTTTGAGCTTGATGCTAAGTTTAGTTTGTTTGCTAGTCAAGTTCTCATTTTCTACTCTGCGATTAATATTTACTTTGCAGAAGCCAGAATTATTAATTAAGGCTTAGAAAAAGTTTCTAATTTTGCTTGTGAAGTTTAAAAGCACGTGCTTTTGTTGCATTTACATGCACCATAATGGGTGAATGTCTACTTATTTTGTCATTTATTGTAATGTATGTTACTTTGAGAAGAGCGAGTTGGAAATTTATGCATTTAGGGAGAAACTGAGTACAGATACATATTAATATATCTGGGTTTTAATGTTATTTGAACTAGTTATTCCTTATGATAACTGCTTTATTACTTTCCAAGCTCTTGGAGATGCTACTTCTTAAATATTGGTACTATTTTCTTTAATCATCCTATATCTGGAACTTGTCATTTATAGCACCTGTTCCCTTCAGAAGTTTGAAGCGTGTCTATTCTTCATGATTATTATCCTTAAACAAATATGGAGTCCATTTTTATAGTTATTATTGGGAAATAGTACTGGCACTTTGTAAAGGAATAGTAAACTACTAGTAAAATATTAATTGACTTATTATAATTTGCATTTGTTAAGTTATTGTGGAAGCCTTGAATGAAATTAACTTGTTCTATGATTATTGGGGATTGATTTCTGTGGTCTGGCCATTTAGGATTTAGTATTCCATGAACTGTTGCTCGGTCTGTGTCTCCATCTTGAAAATTATGGCTGCAACCTCAGCATCAAATCATGGCCGCAACCATGATTAATCTCATTCATCAGAAAATACTTAATGTTGGTGTTGTTCTGTACTTGCTGCAACTCAAACTATTCTGTCAGCTTAATCTTTATTAACATAAATATCAGCATCTATGCACCTGCATGCTAATGTTCAGACCTGTTCTTCATGATTATTTTGCTATGTTAATGCAGATCCTAAGGGAAGTTCATTTTCTCAAAAGGGTCCATGGTCCTGACCCTAATTATGATGATGTCTGTTTTTCTGGTGCTGGAAGGTGTTGCCAATAACTTTTTCATTTTATATGAAATGCTGAAATTTGTTGTCTTCAATCCATCTTAATGGTTTTTATTGAAATGTAATACAGGGATGTTTCCCAGCTATCAAAAATTTTCCCAAAGGTTGAGATGGTATTTAACAATGGAAATAAGTTATTGCTGTCTCCAGAAAACTACCTGTTCCGGGTAATTAATCTTTTTTTTAAACTTTGCGTGGTTAGGCCAAAATGGGTCCTTGGTTGGTGGCAAAGCTTATTTAAGTGGTTATAAAACATTCTTGCATCATCTATTTTCTATGCTAGTTTTCAAACTACTATCTAACACGTATCTTTTCTGTCTCTGTCTGTCTCTCAATGGCATGCTTTGTAGCACACAAAGGTTAGTGGTGCATATTGCTTGGGAATTTTCCCAAATACAGAATCTACCACTCTTTTAGGAGGTATGTTGCTTCATTTGCCAAACACAAAGCCCCCTCTCCCTCTGCATATGTGCAATTGTGAACGCATGTGTGTAGCATAGCGTATCATATAGTTTTGAAAAATGTATGCCAAAAACCTTAAGTTCTTGCAGTATATGCAGGCTTATCAGACCATATGCTTGTCCAACTCAATATATTTTGTTTGTTTGCATAACTGCAGTAATAATCTCGTTAACTTTTGCTTGTTTGAGGCAGGAATTGTTGTCCGGAACACCCTAGTCACATATGATCGGGGTAATGACAGGATAGGCTTTTTGAAAACTAATTGTTCTGAACTATGGAGGAGAGTGCACTTCTCTGGTGTGCCTGCACCAGCTCCTTTAGTCTCCCAAAGCAATGATACTAACATGGATATTACTCCTACACTAGCCCCAAATGAATCACCAGCAAATGTTCTTCCAGGTGCAAGGCTTATTACTTGCTTTCTTAAAATGTTTTCCACATGTTCATTGGTTTCTTCCCTTGCACTGTTCCATGAATTGATGTATCATGATCACAATTTAAGTAAACATACTTTCTTATATATTGGTTAGTACTCAAGTTCTTTTCTCATGAAGGAAAAATCAAGCCAGATGGAAATTACAAATATAAACAGAGATGCTGTACTTGGTTTCTATTTCTTCTATAGATGGAAATTATAAACATAAAGAAGGTTCTGGTTGGTATTGGGGAAAACTACACTATAATTATAATAGACCTCCAAAAAGTTTGTTAACTTTAACTGCTAATCTCATGAACCTGTTTTTTTATAGTCACCTTGATGACAGGTGAAACTGGAGTTCTCTTTCTTTTATTTTTATAAGTTTTTTTTTTTTATATTTAAGTTTTTGAAAAACAAGTTGCTTTTCGTAAGGAGGTTGATGACACATTTACTTTTGTAATCTTGATAAAATCTGTTAGTCATTCAAAGATAGTGTCATCTATGAAGTTAGATTATTGTCCTAATAACCATAGAAATTTCTTGTAGATTTAGAAGGAGGCTTATAATTCCTGATAAATAGCATGCATGCAACCACAGGGATATTTTATATAAATTTCTCATAAATAATCTGATTTCTAGGCAGATACTCAACTTATGTGCACACATTTAAAGCTTATTATAGTTGAGATGGCCTAATTTCATATCACGTCCTTTTTGGTATAATCTTGTTTACTCTATAATCATCATATTCTGCTAACAGAATGGGCTTATTGATTGCTTTAGGCTTATAGTGTTTGCATCTCGTGGTGCTTATTTCATTTTCTACAGATTTGACAATTAGTATGATGATAAGCCTAGTAGTCTTGTTGATTTTTGAGTGATATGCAAGCATTTATACAAATTGATCTTGTAAACTGTACATTTTCTCTGATGATATTGTCTCCCTAAACATGATATTCAGGTTCATTTCGTATTGGATTTATAACATTTGATATGTCAATTAGCACAAACGATTCCAAATTGAAGCCTGACTTCAAGGAGCTTGGAGAATTAATTTCCCAGGAACTGGAAGTCGATAATTCACAGGTACAACTGAATTACCTTGACTTTAACAAGTTTTTTCGGGCTTGTGGGAGTTAGATTTGAAGTTGTGCATTGGACTGCTTTAAAAATATTTGGAATCGATGGCGGAGTTCCATGGTTTTGTCAAAACATGTAACATGCAGATTTAAGTAGATGTGTCCACCTGTCAAAACATCATTCTTATTTGGTTATTGGTGCAATGTAATCTGAATCTGATTTTAAGCAATGATGTCATATATTTGGAATTGTTGGTGGAATTTCATGGTTTTGTCAAAACATGTAACATGCAGATTTAAGTAGATGTGTCCACCTGCCAGGTGGCCTACTAGCCCACTCAAAATTTGGTGGGCTGGGCCTAGAGAAAAAAGCTAGGCCTGATAAAAATTTCAGCTGGGCCCAGAAAAAGATTTCTTTCTACAACCAGGTTTTAGATATTATGTTTAAAGCTTACCTTGAGCCTAACTCAAGTCAGGCCATGGACACCTCTAGTATTTAACTTAAACTAGGAATTAAGCTTCCTTGCCCTATGGTTATGTGTGGGTTTCTTCTTGTGGGTACGGGGGAGTGGGCATATAGTGACCACTATATGCACTCAGCCTTAGCCCAAAAATAACCTCCCATTGTGTAGTTTTAGAATTGTAGGTCTATCTATCAGTGTAACTTGTATCTCTGTATATTGCTTTGTGTTTGACAATAATGAATTAGCCTTTATCTGGTTTACCATAGTTATGTGATTGGTTTGATTTTTCAGGTTCGCCTGCTGAATGTCACTAAGAAGGGGAATGATTACCTTGTTAGATGGGGAATTTTTCCCGCTTCATCTGCTAATTATATTTCTAATTCCACTGCACTGGTATTACCACTACTGTGAAAGAGTTGCAAATTCAATTTAAAATTTTTCCGTCAATTTACCACAGCATTCATCTGAAGCTCATTTTCCTTTATTATGTGTAGAGCATCATTCTGCGCTTAAGGGATCATCGAATGCAGTTTCCTGAGAGATTTGGAAATTATAAGTTGGTTGAATGGAATGCTGAACCTCAAAGGAAGTTGTATGTTCACTTTTGCATTCTGCTTTTATTATTCCTTCTATGCTACTAGCGTGGATTTAATTGGCTACCATTTTTGTGATGAACAAATCTTTGGTGCATTTTGGACTATGAAGTTAAGGTCACAGTTGAAGGGATGGGACTGGGATGCCAGAATGTGATAGATAAAAGAATGATGATGGAGTGGGTTGGCTGGCGATAAAGATGAAGTGGGATGGTCCTGCGGGAGAAAGGCTATCAGATTAGCACTATTTTTGCATCCCAGGATGTGGTAATCAGGAGGGTTGGTAGGGACACATGATGCAGCTATGGGCCTCTTGGTTTAAACCATTGTAGTAGACCATGATATTTGTAGTAGCATCTATTACCTGTCTACAACTTAGGGGTTCTTTTTGCCCTAGGTCAAGGTTCCAGTTTTAGGACATTTTTACCATGGAGCTATTTCACCTAAACTCAGATAGATGTGTAACACATAGATGGTTGGATACAGTGAAATTTTATGAAAATTTCACACTAATACTAATTTATAGGGTCTCAAGAATCATGTTCATGTGGATTTAAGTTGCCCAACGTGTGTCCAATGCAATTACATTAGAACCATGAATCCATATGGATTTAGAGAACTATAACGTCAGCTTTCCTTTTTTTGGTTTTTTCCGAGGACATTCTTTCCTAGACTATATATTATTTCTTTTCCATCTTCTTGAACTGGTTTAGCTAAAGAAATAACATTGGGTTCTTACTGGAGTTCACAGGTCATGGTGGCGAAATCACTTTCTGGCAGTGGTACTTGGACTTTTAACAACTCTGATTCTTAGTTTGTCAGTTATTGGGATATGGTTGGTTTATCGACACAGACAACAAGCAATCGCTGCTTATGAGCCTGTTGGTGCTCCTATTCCGGAGCAAGAGCTTCAGCCTCTTCAATCTTAAAATTTTATCCAGTCATAAACTCGTAATTATCTGCAGCATAGTTTTCTTGTATACTATTTATTATCTTGCACAGAATACATGCTTTTGGAGTTCTCAGAATGACGATGACGGTCCATCCAAGCCAGATAGGTACGATGTGATGAATATTAAAACCCTCTGTTGTAAAATTTTTTATCTTCTATTTTTTAGAAAAAAAAAATGAAAACCAAACGTGCTAATAGATAATTTGACAATATGATCATACTTTTTACTGTGATGTATGTGAATACTTCCAACAACGCTCAGATCAAGTAATACAAGATCCATTTGGGGTAGGAAACTATAGTTAATACTTACTAGTCCCTTTTATCTTTAAAAAAAAATTTGTCTTCGGTGTGCTGGAAAATTGATGTTTTTATCATACGCATGTCGTTGGCATTGCTATATGTAAAATATCTCATATACCTACATTTTATTGCTATAGCATTCCACCCTAATCTCTGATGATACCAGCTTAGGTAAATGAGATGTTTTACATTGATTTGAAACGATCTGGACTACATACAATGAAGAAGCCAATGTGGTGGTCCTGGCTCTGATTACAGCCGCACTTGATTCCTTATTGAGAAAGACCCCACACCCCGTGAACAAACCCGCCATTTTGGTGTGGCTAATGAAAAAGGGGAAATGGTCGAAAATGGAAAAATATACACGCAGCAGACTACGGGGTAGGTCGCGGCGCTACTTTTTCATTAACCCAAAACTTGTTCTGTAAAAACTTGCTTCTCTGAAAAGGTTAGAGATGAAAGAGTAAGGAAAAGAAATGGGGTTCGATGAGTGAAAATTATCACACCAGAGTTTCATTAACCCCACATTAAATGGTGCATTCTTAGTAAGGACTTGAGCCATTTCCATGACCTAAGCTTCCTCTGGCGCTGCTTTAGTGCATGGACCGAGGATGATTTACGCTCGAAAGAGCAAGTGCGTTAAGCAAAGATAAAAGTACGAAGATTTATATGAAAGCAAATGCTTTCAAGTTCGCAGTTCAATAAAAGAGAAGCTGATCAATGACCATATTACCAGACGAACTCATTTAAAATAATAGAAGAAATTAAAAGGTCAAACCCAAATCTTTTTCTCCCCTTCCCCATTAAAATTTTGGAGTTCGGTGCAGTGCAGCATTGGTGCTTCGACCTTCAAAGCTTAAATTGTTACGAGTTATTGCTAGCTATGTGGCATAATCAAGTGGTAATACAAAGAAAAGCGCCAAAAGGGGATCGCAGCAGCAGGGATCAAAATAAAAGCGGCTGTTTCGTCCTAGAATTGCACGTGCATATGCTGTTTAGAAAATAATATTTCAACCGGTCAACCTCGAACTAAAAACTAGGTTTAACAGGCGTCAACTCAAGTATCAGTATCTCCCAACTGCACAAACTTCATTGAAAATCGTGAGCTTGTACCTCATTGTTTAGTACAAACCAGTTACCGGAGTACATAAAAATTAATCAAATGAGGCAAACATATTCATAAAACTATCGAAGGACCCCATTTATTCATTTAAAATACCAACAGGTAATAGAAACCTTTAATGGGTCCTCTATAACTCTTAATAGTTTAGTCTCACAAGCGCACTTATACCATCACTGCATTGTTGTTGGAAAGCAAAGCATGAGAAATACATGTAGGAAAAATCTAAGGGCACTTGGGCTTGCCCTTGGAGTTCTTCGTGTCCCTGTAGCAAGGGCACTCATCCTTGTTCCCATATGTCCCAGATGGAACACACTTGCATTTCTCACAGCAAATTCCACAGTACTTCAAGCATCTGTCTTTTACTCCTGCCTTTGAGCACCTCACCTTGCACTTGGAGTCACAGAAACCTGCTCATCATCATTAGCATACAACATATAAAACCAACCAAAGATTGAGAAATTTTCGTTTGTTCATTAGCTTTATTTTTCATATATATACCTGAACCGGCCATTGACACCTCAAAGAAAGAGGAGCCGATAACAAGAGAAACAAGCAGGAATGTCACCAGGACGAGCTTCATTTTCTTTCCCAGACAGAGTTTTGTTTACTATGAGTGTGTAATGCTAGTGGTTTCCAATGAGAGTTAGACCGGAGGGGATTATTAATTTATAGTGAGGAACTAGCAGGGGTGGGTGAAAAGTAAATTGTTTACTACTACGTACTATGAAAAATATAAGTAATATCAACAGCAAATTACAGACTGTCATGGGGATAAGTTTTGTTTGGGTTTGGTGGAGTGACATCGCTTATTGGTTTAAGGCTTTACCTAACAAGACTGTACTGTTATGAAACATCAAGTACTAATCTTATTGCTTGCATTTATGGCTTTAAAGCAACTCTATCAAATTTGTTTTACCCTATCTTGATTTCGTGTCATTCTTTTATTCGGCCTTGTTGAAAAACATTAATGACACGAAAAGTTAATTGGAAGCTTAAAATTTTACCTTTGCACGTAAATATATTTATGGAATGTTGCGTTGAAGCTTCAATTTCTTTCCATTCATCCTTTTGCCATTCTAATTTTTGTCATCCACTACCAACTAGGGAAGGCAATCTCGATGCAAAGCAACTAAAAGGTTTGTGCCACAATAGAATATATTTAAAGCCATTTTAACTTCAAAGCTGATCCTAAACTTTAATCTTATGTTGTATGTAATCATTGTAGGTGAAATACTTTCATAATGAAAGTCACTCTGCAAAGAAAAATGTGTTGAAGATTTCCATATGTTCCTATTAAATTACCGTGCCTTGTGGCATAGGTTTAGCGAGTGATAACGTGAAGTTAACGTATAAATGTGTCCTTTTGTTCATCAATGTGATTATGCACATATCTTATAAGTGGGATTCCACTAAGCCTCTTACTCTTAGAAATGTAGCTGGACAGCATTTACCATAGGGAAAAGGGTCAAAAGACAAATCTTCTGATTTGTTGAAGTGATACCTGTCTTTAATTTGAAGAACAGATACATATATCCAATGGGCAGTGAAAACTGAAAACGCCTTCCCTAGCTAGTTGCTTGGCTACCATGCATATTGATGCCTTTAAGATTACTTATGAATGTTCATTCCCCATTCTTTTTTCGTTTTTACAATTTACCTTTTGGGGTTGTCGGAAGAAGACTCTGGAAGGGTAGAGAGTGGGAGGAAATATAAATGAGAAAGCTATAACATTGCTATCACTTTCCATGAATGCGGTGCCATGAAAGGTGAATGGTCCGCCCCTGTACTTTGCCACCTAAAGCGTGCCATGTCATGTGATCTGCTATGATCCATTATGAAACATTACGCAAATGAGTGTGATGCCAAATTCTTTCAAGACTTTTACATGATATTTTCTACAATAAGATTTGGCCACTTGGGGGCAAGGATACTTCCAAAATAATAATGTACGTACTATTAGATAGAGATTGAGTATATATATTGTATGTATATGCCATGTGTATTGACTCGTTCAATGATTCAAATATGTCAATGAACCTTAATTTCGATCAGAAACATTAGATTGAAATGCATTTCTTGTTTAACGCTTATGGCTGAGCAATGGTTATTCGTCAACTTGGAATTAAAGAGATGAAATCAGCCTGCCTTAGCTGAGTTATGGCTGCAATAAAAGGTTCCATGTATGCATAGAGGTGACCCCATGTTCAGGTTTTATTTCTTTTGTTTGATTATTATTGGTCCCCATATTGAGCTGAGCTGGTCTTTATTCTCGAATGGCTTCCAACGGGGTCCTCTTCCATTAGTTTGCAACCAATCTATCCTAGCAGCTAAGCACCAGGTTACAACTATATATAGCTGTCCAAAATTCCCAGAAGGATCTTATAATTTCCTTCGTTGCATTCAAAGTAAGGAAAATGACCTGTATTGAAAGATTATTCTTAACAAAATGACAAATAAAAGACTGACAATTTCTTTTTATACAAGCATTTAGCCTACAACAAAGCTGGCCCAACTTTCAAGTGGCATGCGGGCTAGCAATCTGCTCATCTGCGTAATAAAAACAATGTCATCATATTGAAAATCTTTTGGCCATTCCCGAAAGAAGAATAAATGATGATCAGTGATTTTCTGTTTTGAATAATGGTTTATTTATTGGATTAGAGATAGAGTAGGAAGTAATTCAAAAGCTAAAATATTGTGTACTGTTTTTTCATGGTTAGCAGTTATTAAGTTAAACACGCGAAAGGAAATCCCTACCTAAACACGTCCCAAGAAGGGAATTGTGGCTGTAAAGCTAAACCAGTGCCCTTCCTTACAGCTTCATGTTAAATGAATGATTCATCTGGAAAATGAAACCAATGGTGGTCCACGAAAATTTTGAACCGGTCCCATTCCCATATGACAGTATATTACCAAGGAAAGTTCATTTCTAACATTATTGGAGTAGTCACGTTGTGATCTAATCCTGAAACAAGTAGGTCAAAAAATGTTCCAATTCCATCTCCAACTTAAAATTTCAAAAAATCGAATCTTAATCTACCAAGAAATAACAGATTTGATCATCCAAAGCACATTCTCCAAGGTTGCCAATGCTTACAATAAAGGGGCTTGCCTTTTCTCCCTTGAATGCATTTGGTTAGCAACTTGGACCTGTTCCACAATGGCAATGATCTAAAACTTTCAAGCCCATGCTTATTCTAGCAACTCAAAGTTGTTTTTCGTGGGGCTCTGGAGATGTAAAAACCCATTAATGCAATCAAGCCCGAAAGTAAAGAACTGCAAAATATTAAGGCTAGAAATTGGGCCAGTTTTAATTGGCAAACTTTGTTACCGTTTAGATCCAACTCAAAAGGAGGAGACACCAATTTGACGTAAAATTTGGAAATCTAGAAGGAGGCGAGGGAGATCAATTTAAATCAGAAATTGAAAGTCATCTAAAGTTAGGTTTTGGTTAGTCTTTAAAGCTATCCAAAGTCGGATTCTAATCTTAACTTTTCTTACTTTTAGTTGGCATCATTCACACCAAGGTCTCAATTTCAGTTTTCAGCTCGTTGATGATACTAGATTACTAGTCGTAGTTTGGTGACATTAATCTCAAATATGCAGACAAGAAAGGCTGTTATGACCATAACAGCTTAAGCCTGATGACCAAACAGTATCTTTACCATCCCAACATCTACCTAACTCAATAATCTTCTCTTGTTTCACCAATCATCGTGTTGACCGTGACAGAAACTCTATCTACATATTAATCAACTAGCTCGTCTTGTTGTTACATTAGAAAGAAGAATATATTGAAAAACAAAATTTTGGATAGGGGCATGGTTTTTAAGAAGGGCCCATGACCCTATGATAACAAAAGTCCCACACCCCAATGACAAAGGTGGCTGCCCAAGGCACACATTTGTTTGTCTTGAAGCTTTTCTTTGTTGCCTTGTTTCAGAGCTGATGAGATGATGATCATGCTGATCAAACCCGCTCTATGATTGGCAGACTCAGGTATCGTTCAGAAAAATCAACTTGTTGGCAAGAAAGAATCAGGATCTCGAGATGTTTTCTTATGAATTGGAACATTTTGCGTTAGCAGATGCCAAAGATGTCTTAAACATCCATCGTAGTTAAGGTCGTTGGGTGTAGCACCCAACTAATCCAGCGAAACTCATGCTTTAATCATTCTAAGCAAACACAGAATAAAGAGAAGTGGGAAAGAAAAAACATGACAAAAAGAAAAAGATGGATAAGCCTAAGCTAAGATGGTTTGTTGGTTCATCTAAGAATATTTTCTTTTGCCCAAAAGATCTTTGTCCGAGAGTCGTTTTTCTAGTTTATCAACCAAATCAATGTTACTGGATTAGGCCGTTGATAATTAATTGAGTTCATAAATATAATAAATTTATAAACAATTAATTTTTAATTAAAATTTAGATTTCATGGGTATCATTAATGTCGAGTTTGAATTTAAATACTTGGTTTGAAAATGCTTAAAAAACTGCTGGCTAAACTGAGAATTCACTATAACATGATTGCAATTGATTTTAGTGTATCAAGTATGCTCATCAAGTGCCCCTTTAGGCAATCATAACCAAAAATTTCAGTGGGAGTCATTGGGAATAACTCTAAATTAAACAGCTACATAATGTTTAATTAATGGCTATGGGTCATTCCCCATCATTGGTGTTTTTTGTTCATTAAAATCACCAAATTGCAACTTCAAATTGCTTTTTTTTTTTCTTGTTGAGGAAAACAAAAGAATGGGTAATATTTAAATGAATAATAATCGAGTGGGTTTCAATTTTCTTTTGTTTTCTATTTCAAAAGAATAAATAAATTAAATATGGGATATCGAAGTCTTGTTAAAGACTCAGCTCAGTCAAATCTATGCTGGCAGAGGTCCCCCCGAACCCTTGTCCGTTCAACATTTTCACATTTGAAATCAACTCCCATTAAAAATAGAGGGACCACATTGTTAGTTCAAAATGTTCATTTACCATAATCTTCTATTTCTAAATTCCTTTTTTTTTTTTTAAGTTATTTTTGCCCGGGATAGATAGGTAACAAAACAATTCAATAAATAACCTTATTTTTAATTGCAATTTTTTTTTATAAAAAAAATATTTTAGCCTTGAATTGATCCTTATTTTGAAAAGATAAAACATTAAAACTAAATAAACTTGATCAAGATTTTAAAAAAGATTTATTTAGTCCATGTTCTTAAGTTTTATATTTTGGTACTAAATAAATAATATGATTTTCAAAATTTAAACAAACATTTCTTGGTTTCATATTTCTCAAACCAAATCTATCTTTAAAGATTATTTATTTGAGCTTAAATGAAAGTCCAATTATTGTTTTTAAAGTGAACTTATTCATTTTGGACTTAATACAATTTTGATAATATTGGTTTTGAGAAAAAAATTAACTTAAGAAAGCTGTTTTACAAGAACAAAATTTTTCAACATTAAAATTTTTTTATTTTTTGTATTAATTCACAATGTTTTAATATTTAAATTTTACATGGTTGGAAAGTTCTTTGAGTTTACTTTCTAATGGATCAAACAAAATCAAAATCCAAATTTTTTTAAGAAAATATTTTAAATTTTTACTAGACACACTGCAGTTGTAAAAAAAATTGCACAATGGGTAAATTTGAAAATTCACT